GTTATGTGGATTTGAACCCAGAGCCCAGAACATCAGAGGAGGGAGGTTCATGTGACACTGGAGGAAAATGAGGGCATCCTGATCTCCTCCCCTCTCTGGGCCTCAGTCTCCTCATCTGTCCAGTGAGGGGAAGGCGGCCTGATGCTGGGATTGCCCCTCCCGACTGGCGCGGGGCCCTTCCACTTGTCACCATTGCACAGCCGGGCTGGGATCGCCGTGGTCCCCGTGTGAGTTTCCCGCTGGAGGAGGAGGGGACGGGACTGCCCCCCGGGTTGCTGTGGGCTCCTGGGATGTTTTGGGTTGTACTGTCCGGCTTGTCCAGTTCCATCTCTGGGAAGCTTCTGTGAAAGCAAGCACTGTTTTCTCCTTTTCCGGTTCCAGGCCCTTTTCCCCACCCCCCGCTGAGGGCCACCTTCTGTTACAACCGACCGCAGCGGGGTTTCTGGGACCCAAATCCCCACACCCTACAGCAGTGGTTCTCCACCTTCCTAACGCCGGGGCCCTTTAACACAGTTCCTCATGGGGTGGTGACCCCCAGCCCATAAAATCATTTTCGTTGCTACTTCATAACTGTAATGTTGCTACTGTTATGAATTGTAATGTGAATACCTGTGTTTTCCGATGGTCTTAGGTGACCCTGCTAGGGGTTCTCAACCTGTGATGTTTACAGTATGATTCATTAACAGTAGCATCATTACAGTTATGAAGTAGCAACAAAAATAATTGTATGGTTGTTGGGGGGGGGGGGTTCACCACAACATGAGGAACTGTATTAAAGGGTTGTGGCATTAGAAAGGTCGAGACCCACTGCCCTAGAGCAAGCTCTGCAAGCCTGGGTGCCGTGTAGGGTCCTAGGTGGCTTGCTGGAAGGGGAGGAACACGTTGAGGGGGAGCCCCCCTGAGGAGGATGAGTAGCTGTGGCAGTCACCTTACCCGAGCTTTAGAGGTCAGCGGTGTCCTGCCCAGAGAGGACCCAGCCTGGTGCTCTCAAAGAGTGGAGTGACCAGGGTCCCTGCCCTGCCTGCCTTCCTGCCCAATGTTCTGAGCGCTCAGTGGACAGGAGCTGTGGGCGCTCCGTTTAGAAAGATGAATCTGGCAGCTGGGCCGGAGAGCAGAAAGCCAGGCAGGCTGGTGCATTGTGGTATCAAGGCCTGAGGTTCATTCGTGTGTTCACTCAGTATTCGTTCCGCACTCCTGTGTGTCAGCCAGTGGTGGGTCCCAGGGATCCGGTGGGGAAGATAAAGTCCTCAGGAGTGTATGAACAGGAAGGGAGACAATAAAAAACATGTCAGGTGATGAGTTCTGGGAATGGCAGGATCGCTTCTATCAGCTGTGGGCGAAAAAGGGGCCACACACTAAACTGACAGGCTCAGCATGGTGAGCTTTACGAACTTGGAGGCCACCAGTAACCGCACTGGATGGTCTGATCTCCGTCGGTGAGAGCGTCCACCCAGTAGGCCAAGGTTGAGGATTCAGTCCCCGGTCGGAGCCCGTGCAAAAATCAACCAATGAATGCATGAATGAGTGGAACAACAAACCGATGTCTCTCCTCTTCTCTCCCTCTAAGATAACACCTTCGCAATGTCAGCGTAATGTCTTCTGGGCCAGGACCACCACGCAAGACCACCATTCTTTTTATCTTTTTGCCCCCCTACCATCTGTCTGTGCTGTAAAGGCTCACAGTACCCACCGATGCAAAAGAAGTACGTCTCTCTGTTTTACTCTTTCTAAAAATATATTTATCTCTGTTCATTTCAGAGAGGGAGGCAGAGGGAGAGAGAGAAAACATCCAGATGGGAGAGAATCATTGATCAGTGCCTCCTGCACAACCCACACTGGGGATCGAGCCCGAAACCAGGGCGTGTGCCGTGACTGGGAATCGAACCGTGACCTCCTGGTTCATAGGTTGATACCCAACCACTGAGCCAAGCTGGCTGGGCTCCCCGTTTTACTCTTTATCCAGTCTCAGAGATGTCCCCTCCTTTGCTTCCTCCTGCCCCCCGAATCTCCTACCAATAGATTTCGTGTAACCCTCCTCACAGCTCCTGCTTTGGCTCCCAGGTAGAAAATAAGCCCCAGGACTATCCTTCTCCGGAGCACTTTCTAAGTCTTCAAGATTTTGCTTCCCAGCATTTGCTATCAGTTTGGCTCAGATGAAGTCATAAAAATTCCCTACTGGCTCGGAGTTTCTTACCCTGATACAGTCTAATCCTCTGGCAAGAGTGCTCATAGGCTAAGGATGAATATAAGGTGCAGTGGTGTGAGAGCAATCAAAAACAAGTAGATGCTGGGGAGGGGAAAAAAAAAAATGAAAGAAGAAGCAGATGAGCCCTAAGGTGTGTGCCCTTGACCGGAGTACCTTGGTTTCGGGCACATACCCAGTGGGGCGTGTGCAGGAGGCACCTGATCAATGTTTCTCTCTCATCATTGTTTCTAACTCTCTATCCCTCTCCCTTCCTCTCTGTAAAAAAAAAAAAAAAAAAAGAAGAAGAAGAAGCAGATGATGTGAGTAGCACCAGAAGCCACGCTTCCCCCAAGAGTACTGCTTCTTACAAAGGGTCAATGTCAGACCACCCAAATCTCTAGAGAACTTTTATAAAAATTTATCTGCACTAAACAGAGGATATACTTGGAAGCAAGATCTCAAGACTGGGAAAAATGCTTCCACGAAATGACAGTTTGCTGCTGCTTTTATTATATTTATGCCCTTGGAATGAAGGAGGTAATAGAAGGAAGATCGCCTGAAGCTGGGAGAAGGCGAGGTGGGGATTGGATGCCGTGTCTCCCAAACTTCTCTCTGATGAGAATCACCTGGCGGAGTTGTTAAACTACAGATTCCTGAATCCCAACTAAGAAGAGCACTAGTTAAGTATACAATTTTACCTATATGTTCCCAAAAATTCTAGTTTAGCACTTCTTAGTTGGGATTCAGGAATCTGTAGTTTAACAACTCCACCGGGTGACTCTCATCATGAGAGAAGTTTGGGAAACACTGGATTAGGGAATAGTTAATAAGATTATGTGTTCTCTTGAGGGTGGTCTGAAAGGACACATTTCAAAGGTGTGTTAACTGCTCCCATCCCCCCCAAAGAAAAGTATGTTAACCTGGATGCACAGAAACTACAGACAGGGCTTGCTTAAGGCGAGGATAAGCCTTTTACTAAAACAGTTATTTGCCTGGGGTGTGATTACCACCAGGACTTGCCGGGTTAGGAATTTATGATCAGAAGCCCATTCCCTCCACAAAAAGCTAAAACAGAACGTGGCTGTGTTACTGGGTCAGAGTCTGAGGCCACCAGAAAAGCTAACAATCAAGAGGGAACATTCTGGAGAGGAAGGAGCCATAGAGAGTTCCCCTTCACATGCTCCTCAAGCTCATGGCAACTGCTAAACTGTGAGGCCTTGCCCTAGCCGGTTTGGCTCAGTGGATACAGTGTAGGCCTGTGGACTGAAGAGTCCCAGGTTCGAATCTAGCCAAGGGCACATGCCCGGGTTGTGGGCTTGATCCCCAGTAGGGGGCATGCAGGAGGCAGCCGATCAATGATTCTCTCTCATCATTGATGCTTCTATCTCTTTCTCCCTCTCCCTTCCTCTCTAAAGTCAATAAAGAAATATATTTAAAATTGTGAGGTCTTAAGGGATCCAGGAAGAAATGGCAGCTGGGAGACAAAGAGGTCCCCCCCCCCCCCTCCCGCTGCCTGGTTGGAGGAAAATGTTTGGAATTCAAGTTCCACCAAGTTAGAGGGGCTTAGTAATTGCTCTAAGTTTTCCTTTGAAACTCCTGAAGGGCCTCACCTATGATTAAGGGCCTCACCGAAGGCTAAGAGACACACCCTAAGACGAAAGGCAAAAACCCAAACAACCCCACCCTAGCAAAGCCCCAAACCAAGCCTCTGCAGGATCCAGTGATTCATCAGTCACTGAACGGCGTGTCAGAACAAAGCAGCATTCTTTTTAGGAAGATAAATCCAGACTCCCTGGACTACGTCACCCACAAGGTTCCGTATGGAACTTAAAATCCAGACTCCTTATAACATTATTTACAATGCACAGCTTATAATAAAAATGACTAGACATGCAGGCCGCAGGAAAAAGGGACCCTGATCAAGGGGAAAAAAATAAGACGCAAATAGTCCAGACGCTGAACAAAAGATCAGATAATGATAAATGTTGTCGAGAGAATTACACTCCAGGGACCTGCTACTAGAGAGGAACTGTGTGGACAGTTTCAAATAGGAGGTAACAGAGGGCTTCTCGAAAGATGTGGCTTAAAAAAAAAAAATAAATAAATATATAAATATATATATATATATATATATATATATATATATATATATTATTGATTTTTTACAGAAAGGAAGAGAGAGGGACAGAGAGTTAGAAACATCAATGAGAGAATCGTCGATCAGCTGCCTCTTGCACCCCCCTCCCCCCACACACACACACTGGGGATGTGCCCGCAACCAAGGTACATGCCCTTGACCGGAATCGAACCTGAGACCTTTCAGTCCGCAGACCGATGCTCTATCCACTGAGCCAAACCGGTTTTGGCCCATGCAGGATCTTGAGGCTCAGAGTAAAGCGTTTGACTTGTGTTTGAAGAATGCTGAGTTGTCTTTCCAAGGCCTTGAAGCAGGGGCCTGAAAGGTTGGGTATGGGGGCAGTGAGTGGTGTGGGGACATCCTAGATGGGAGGAAAGGATGGAGCGAGTGGGCAGAGCAAGACAATGACTCCGGGCTGGAACACTTCGGCGGAAAACCGTGCTCCTGTCAAGAGAAGGTGAAGGTTTCGACGTGTGTGTGGTGTGAATGCCTCCGCCTCTCCCACAAAGTCTCCACCTGCCTGTGGCATTGGGTTTGCGTGTGGGGGTGGGGGTGGCGGAGGGCTGAGACCGAGCACCAGGCTCCCGGCTCCTGTCTGTGGGCAGCCCTGGCCATCGGGGGCCAGCCAGGAGAGAGAGCCCCTGGGATGATGGCTTCCTGTCCTGCCTTTCTCCCTAGAACCCAACGTCTTCCTCATCTTCAGCTACGGCCTGGAGGGCTGCCTGGAGGCCCAGGGCGGGCAGGTCCGGGTCTCCCCGCGCTGCAGCAGCAGCCTGCCCGCCCAGCGCTGGAAGTGGGTCTCCCGGAACCGGCTCTTCAACCTGGGCACCATGCAGTGCCTGGGCACAGGCTGGCCGGGCACCAACACCACGGCCTCCCTGGGCATGTACGAGTGTGACCGGGAGGCGATGAACCTCCGCTGGCACTGCCGCACGCTGGGCGACCAGCTGAACCTGCTCCTGGGGGGCCGAGCGGGCAACGCGTCCAAGGCGGGCACTGCCGACCGCGGCGACCAGGCCCGCAGCGGCCAGTGGTCCATCTACGGCAGCGAGGAGGATCTGTGTGCCCGGCCCTACTACGGTGAGAGGCCGCTGGCAGCCGAGGGGCGGGCGGGGGGTGGGAGGAAACTGGAGCCCGGAGGGACACATTCCCGGGTGACAAGGCCTTTTCCTCTGTGGACCTTCGGCAGGCACATCTTTCATTGGAACGGGAAACATTTTTGAGTAAGAAAATGAACTTCAAAGCATCTCATTTACTTTTTTTTTAAATAATATATTTTATTGATTTTTTACAGAGAGGAAGAGAGAGGGATAGAGAGTTAGAAACATCGATGAGAGAGACACATCGATTAGGCTGCCTCCTGCACTCCCCCCCCCCCCACTGGGGATGTGCCCGCAACCAAGGTACATGCCCTTGACCAGAATCGAACCTGGGACCCTTCAGTCCGCAGGCCGACCGTTCTATCCACTGAGCCAAGCCGGTTTCAGCTCGCTTACTTTTTAAAAAAAATTACAAAATTAATTTACACGCGTGTAAAGGCCTCCATCCACACAAAAGTGTATAATGTAAAATTTCCTTCCCTAAGGCCTCCTCTCTAGTCCCGTGGTTGGCAAACTGCGGCTCTCGAGCCACATGTGGCTCTTTGGCCCCTGGAGTGTGGCTTTTTCACAAAATACCACGGCCTGGGCGAGTCTACTTTGAATTAGTGGCGTTAGAAGAAGTTTAAGTGTAAAAAAATGTGGCTCTCAAAAGGCATTTCAGTCGTCGTGCTGGTGATATTTGGCTCTGTGGACTCATAGTTTGCCGACCCCTGCTCTAGGGAGACCTCAGGGTCACCCCCAGAGGGCAGCTCCATCCTGGGGGATCCTTTTCCTGGAAGCCACCCTGAGTGGAACCTGGGAGAAGGGGGTGCACTGTGGAGCCCCCCAGGCCAGGGACCTGAGTCGGGATTCCTTCAGGCCCAGCCCCTTGGGGGTGACTCGGAGACCCCCTCACCCAGCTGGAGTGTGGACAGCCATCGGGGGCGCTGGAGGACCCCTCCCGGCCCTGTGGGATGGGCAGCAGGACTCCCCCAGGCTCCTGGGACATCTGGTGGAAGAGGGAGCCTGAAAGCCATTGTCCGATGTCACCACCCTTCCCCCCTCTGCTGACCCCTGCCCACCCCTGGCCCCCGGGGTCCCCATGCCAAGGCCCACTGCCCTCCTTGCAGAGGTCTACACCATCCAGGGCAACTCCCACGGCAAGCCCTGCACCATCCCCTTCAAGTACGACAACCAGTGGTTCCACGGCTGCACCAGCACGGGCCGCGAGGACGGGCACCTGTGGTGTGCCACCACCCAGGACTACGGCAAGGACGAGCGCTGGGGCTTCTGCCCCATCAAGAGTGAGAGCGGCGGGGGGCGGGGCTGGCCCCGGGTGCGGGGGCAGGATGTTCGGGGCGGGGGGGGGGGGGGGGGGGGGGGGGGGGGGGGGGAGTGGCCCCCCTCGCGGCCTGGAGCGGCCCGCGCGGGGTCTGCACTCCGCAGGGACCCCCGTGCGGGCCCTGACGCCCGGGGCCGGGGAGGACCCATGTCCGGCTGTCACACTGGCAGGTAATGACTGTGAGACCTTCTGGGACAAGGACCAGCTGACCGACAGCTGCTACCAGTTCAACTTCCAGTCCACGCTGTCATGGAGGGAGGCCTGGGCCAGCTGCGAGCAGCAAGGGGCGGACCTGCTGAGCATCACCGAGATCCACGAGCAGACCTACATCAACGGTGAGGCGGTGGGCCGCCCGGGCTGGGCTGGCTGGGGTCTGACACACCGGGGACGGGGCAGGGTCCAGGGCCCTGAGACCTGCTCCTGCCTCTGGAGAGCCCTGAGCCCTTTCTTCTCTTTCTCTCCTCTCTTCTCTTCTCCTCTCTTCTCTTTCTCTCTCTCTTTCTCTCCTCTCTTCTCTTCTCCTCTCTTCTCTCTTCTCTCTTCTCTTTCTCTCCTCTCTTCTCTCTTCTCTCTTCTCTTTCTCTCTCTCTTTCTCTCTCTCTCTCTCTCTCTCTCTCATTCTCTCTCCTCTTTCTCTCTCTTTTTAAATATATTTTTATTGATTTTTCACAGAGAGGAATAGAGAGGGATAGAGAGTTAGAAACATCGATGCGAGAGAAACATCGATCAGCTGCCTCTTGCACACCCCCCACTGGGGACGTGCCCGCAACCAAGGTACATGCCCTTGACCGGAATCGAACCCGGGACCTTTCAGTCCACAGACTAACGCTCTATCCACTGAGCCAAACCGGTTTCAGCACTCTCTCTTTTCCTTTTTGTTAATCCTTACCCGAGGATATTTTTCCATTGATTTTTAGGGAGAGTGGAAGAGAGAGGGGAAAACAGAGAAAGGGAAAGACGGAGAGAAACATTGATGTGAGAGAAACACAGAGAAAGGGAAAGACGGAGAGAAACATTGATGTGAGAGAAACACACCGATTGGTTGCCTCCTTCATGAGCCCGGGCCGGAAAGGAGCCTGCAACTGAGGCACATGCCCTTGTTGACCGGAATCGAACCCAGGACCCTTTGGTCCACAGGGCGATGCTCTATCCACTGAGCCAAACCGGCTAGGCATCCCTTTCTGCCTGCCTGCGGGGGTAAGGGTGATGCTGGGGCAAAGAGGAGGAGGGCCGAGGGTGGGCGGCCTGCGTCTCACTGTCACGGTCTCGCTGCCAGGGCTCCTCACCGGCTACAGTTCCACACTGTGGATCGGCCTTAACGATCTGGACACCAGTGGAGGCTGGCAGTGGTCGGACAACTCGCCCCTCAAGTACCTCAACTGGGAGAGTGGTGAGGCATGGGGTTCGGGGTACAGGGTGGCCTGGGGACCCCACAGGCGCAGTCTCCTCAGAGTGGGGCTGGGAGGGGGGCAGGTTTCCCCCGCCCCCTGGGAGGGCCCCGCTAGCCCATGCAATGCGTTTGTATGAATTAGGAACCAGTGCTCGGGGCAGAGGGCCTGGGCAATGGACTGGATTTCAGGCCCCGGTACCCAGGGCGCCTACAGCCTGGCCAGGGATGCCGGGTGGGGCTGGTAGCAGTTGTGAGTAGAACTCAGGCTGTGTGGGCCCGGTGAGAGAGCAGTGCGGCCCTGCGGTGCCCGGTGAGGGAGGGCTGAGCGCAGAGCTGGGCATCTGCAGCTGGCTCCTGCTTCCGAGGGGGCAGGCGGTTTGGAGGAGGGCTCCCGGGGCAGGGGTGTGAGTCTCTCTCCTGGGGTGCCGGCACCCTGCCCTCCCCACAGATCAGCCGGACAACCCGAGCGAGGAGAACTGTGGAGTCATCCGCACGGAGTCCTCCGGGGGCTGGCAGAACCGCGACTGCAGCATCGCACTGCCCTACGTGTGCAAGAAGAAGCTCAACGCCCCGGCCCAGCCCGAGCCTCCCGGTGAGACCTGGTTCCGGTGCAGGTGGGGGGGGGAGGTGTGGAGTGAGGAGTGGGGGGGCTCCTCATGACCACAGCCGGCCCAGGCTCAGAGCACAAGGTGGCCCCTGTTCTTTTTTTAAATACATTTCTATTGATTTCAGAGAGGAGGGGAGAGGGAGAGAGAGAGAGAAACATCAGTGAGGAGAGAGAATCATTGATGGGCTGCCTCCTGCACGCCCCACACGGGGGATCGAGCCTGCAATCCGGACATGTGCCCTTGACTGCAGTCGAACCCGGGACCCTTCCGTCTGCAGGCCGGCGCTCCGTCCACTGAGCCAAACCAGCTCGGGCCTCCTGTTCTTACTTAGCAGCTCAGCTAACGTCTGAACAGGTTGGGACGTGCCACCCATTCATTCCCCCGGGGGTGTGTTAAGAATCGTGCCAAAGGCCGGTATTATTCATCGGGTCCCCGGGGAGGTCAGCCTGTTGGACAGACACCTCCTCGCACAACGGGACTATCCTGCGCTCCGTGCTGTGATAAAAACACGTGCAGTAGTGTCAGAGGAGAAGTGCCCAGACGAGGAAGGAAGCTTCTGAAGGTTGGGGCGGGTTTCAAGGACGTCTCCGTTGGATTGGGGCCTTTCAGGTTGAGTGAAAGTTTAAAAAGCCACCAAGACGTGAATGGGAAGGGCGTTCTTGGGAGAGGGAGCTGCAGGAGCGAGGGTGTGGAGGCATGGGAGGACGGGGACGTTGTAAGGCGGGTGAGTGGTCTGGTGGGAGTATAATTACTCAAAGTGGGGTCCTGAGCTCCTGGCCTGGGAGCTCCTTCCCAGGGCAGAGCCTTGGGCCGGGCCGCAGGTAAATTTAACCGGGACCTGCGTTTCGTTCACAGTTTGAGAAGCGCCGGCTCAGAGAGCGTGGGGAATGGTTCAGAAGGGCAGGCTGCAGCCAGTCAGTCCCGGAAGGGTCCTGGCTGTGGGGCGAAGCTTGGGTGGGGCCAGGTCGGCAGGGGGAGCCTTCGCAGGCTTCGAAGCCAGGGAGTGTCTCGCTGACACACGGGATTCGTACAGCTCACTCCGGAAGGCGTTTGTCAGCGGAGGTTGGAGGGGGCTCTGCAGGAATCAGGGACCCTGGGATGGTGGAAAGGGGATTTTTCCCAGCAGAATACAGCAAAACCAGAAAGAAAAAAATTCCACAAACACCCAGAGGAAAGAACGCACGGAGTGCAAGTTCTGCTTCTGACCATTAAAATGTTGCCCAAGACGGACTGATCCGGGGCCTGTCAGCTCCTGCTTCCTCGCTGCTTCGCCTCCTGGGGGTCAGAGCAAAGGCTTACAACCTGGGCGCCCCACCTCTAGCTGGAGGGAGCCTGGAGCAGGCCCCACTTCCCGGTCTTCCAGGAGCTGCTCTCTGAAGGAAGGGGGACCCCTGAGGGCAGACCTAGCCCCTCTGGGGTCCCCCTAGAATCTGGCTTCTCGCCCGAATTCTCTGTCCCTGGGTCTCCCTGGCCTGGCCCCCTGGCGAGTCATCACACAGACCTGCAGACATGTCTGTGGCTCTGGACTTCCTCATTCACCCAGCCCCCTCTTCTCTGCCTGAGGCAGGTTTTCTTCTGCCTTCCCAGGCTTGTCCCTCAAAGCCCGTTAGGCAGCATCGTGCCCCCGAAGCACCCACATTTCCTGAGCTCCCTTCCTCCTCCACCCCAAAGCCGGCCCCTGAGGCTGAACACCCAGGAAATGCCGGTTCTGTCTGGGGCCGCAGCTTTGGGTCTCTGCTCCGTGGCCAGCAGAGATGATGGACAGTCCAGAGCCCCGGAGCGACCCGCTCTGGCTCTTGGCCCTGCCGCTCGCTCTGCTGGGTCTCCAGGAAACGGGCTGGCTGGACCCTGGAGCGGCTCCCAGGACGGAGTGCATCCCGGAGCCCCGGTCTCGGGCGGTGCTTCGAGCGGGCACATGCTTTCCTGCCCGGCCAGGCAGAATCCTGCCCGAGCCTGACATGGCGGGTGGCGCGGTAAAATCTTCTTTTCTTCTGCCAAGGTCCAAGCCAGGGCTTGTTTGTCTCCGCGGCCCCTGGACCCCACTCCCCAGTGGGTGAACCTGGAAATGCAAGGACTGGGGGGCAAGGAAGGAACCAGTCAGTCAGCCAGCCCTGGGGAGCAGGGAGAGGAGCTGGGGGTGGGTTGGGGGGGGGGGGGAGGGCGAGTAGCAAGTGGAGCAACTCCAGCCAGGGATGCCAGCCGGTCAGCGGGTGACTTTACCTGCCGCCCACCTGGGGGGCCCCATTTCCTTAGTCCCTTCGTCCTGGACCACCAGGCCCAGCACGGCCCACATGCAGTAGACGTCCTCTGAGACATCCGAGATAATGGCATGGGTTTCGTTCACTAAGCAAGGTGGACAGGAGCTAAGTGTGAGCCTTGTAGCAGGAAACTCCACTCCAGCAGAGGAGACAGAATTCCCGGGGCTGGTCTGCCCTGAGTCCCTGCCCATGTCTCTCAGCACCCTGGCGAGAGGGCCGTCCTGTCTTTTTTTTATATATATATTTTATTGATTTTTTACAGAGAGGAAGAGAGAGGGACAGTTACAAACACCGATGAGAGAGAATCATCGATCAGCTGCCCCCCCCCACACCCCCTACCGGGGTTGTGCCCGCAACCAAGGCGCATGCCCCTGACCGGAATTGAATCCGGGACCCCTCAGTCGGCAGGCCGACGCTCTATCCACTGAGCCAAACCGGCTTCGGCAGGGGCCGTCCTGTCTCGAGTGGGATCCGCCGCCACCACCTCCCGCGGCTCTGCCTCTGGAGGATTTTATCTTGTCGTCGGCATTCAGCACTCAGACCTGTCCTGGCAGGAAGGGCTGATGGGAAAATAGGTTTGGGGAGGACGTGAGTGAGGCTGGCGGCCTGATCGCTGAGCGGCGGCCTTGTGGGTCTCTGCAGACGTGTGGGCCAACGTGAGGGTGGAGTGCGAGCCCAGCTGGCAGCCCTTCCAGGGCCACTGCTACCGCCTGCAGGCTGAGAAGCGCAGCTGGCAGGACTCCAAGAAGGCGTGCCTGCGGGGCGGCGGCGACCTGCTCAGCATCCACAGCATGGCCGAGCTGGAGTTCATCACCAAGCAGATCAAGCAAGGTGAGGGGCCTCCCCATGCCCACCCGGCCCCGCCCAGGAGGCTGGGGCGGCCGCTCCCTCCCCTGCCGGTGGCTGCGGCTGACTCTCCTGTCCTCCCCCCCTCCCGCCGGCCGCACCCCCAGAGGTGGAGGAGCTGTGGATCGGCCTCAACGACTTGAAGCTGCAGATGAACTTTGAGTGGTCGGACGGGAGCCTCGTGAGCTTCACCCACTGGCACCCCTTCGAGCCCAACAACTTCCGGGACAGCCTGGAGGACTGCGTCACCATTTGGGGGCCGGTGAGAACCCCTTCTCCCCACCACAGGGCCCCAAACACACACCAGCCTTCCGGTGCTACCCCAGTCCTATGGGTACCGGCCTGGAACCCCACCCCATGGCCTCTCAGAAGCCCCGTCTTCCCCACCAGCCCTGCCCCATGGGAGATTGCCGGTGTTTGACCCCCTCCCCCTCTTCTTCCCCCGACTAGCGGGGCCACTCTGGGCACGTGACTTAACCTCTGTGCACCTCGGTTTCCTCATCTGCAAACGGAACACGGATGGTGCCAACCTCAGGGGGGCACTGGGAGGGTTCAAGGAGTTAGTTCTCACGAAACCTTAGGACGCTGCTGTTCTCACCAGCAGGTGGCATCGGAGGCCACGTTACGTGGACATGCTCCAGGGGCCAGGATGCCCTGTGCAAGTCCCTGTCCCCTCGTGAACGTAGTGGGCGGGCGAGGACTGTTGGCCAGGGCCCTGGCTCAGAGGCGGAACGGGCAGATGGAGGAATGGATGCAAGGCTTCGAGCAGAGAGAAGAGACCCTTTCAAAAGGGACAGGGCCATAGAGATAGACTACCCACCTCAGGGACAGACAGGACACTCTGGTGAGATACCACACACCACTGCTTTTCAGAGAGAGTTGGAAGGGAGGAAGGAAGGGGAGAGAGGCAGAGAGAGAGAAAAAAAACCCACATGGATATGAGAGAGACACATTGACTGGTTGCCTCCTGAACACATACCAACCAAGGGTGGAAGCGAATCCAAAACCCGGATATGTGTCCTTGACTGGGAATCGAACCCGAGGCCTTTGAGTATGTGGTCTCTCGCTCTAACCGTTGAGCAACACTGGCCAGGACAAGAGGGTGCTATTTTAAAATTTATAAACATGCCCGGCTGGTGTGGCTCAGTGGTTGAGCATTGACCTGTGAACCAGGAGGTCACGGTTCCTTGGTCAGGGCACATGCCCAGGTTCCGGGCTTGATTCCCAATGGGGGGTCTTGCAGGAGGCAGCCGATCAGTGATTCTCATCATTGATGTTTCTATCTCTCCCTCTCCCTTCCTCTTTGAAATCAATAAAAATGTATTTTTTAAAAATTTATAAACAGTGATTTGTTGAGAGTGTGCTACATGCCAGGCATCCCCCTGGGGGCTGGGATACGCAGCACCCTGCCCTCAGATGGGACTAAAGGCAGACACACCACCCCTGGGGCGGCTGAGGACAGAGGAGGGACAGGATTGAGGAGGGGACTGAGGCCTGAATTGCTGTTTAGTGCATCCTCTGAGATCCAGGTCTGGGCGCACCGTCTGCTCAGCCTGGCTCTGCAGGTCCTGGCTGGACACCTTGCAGAACTGGGAGTCTCATCTGTCTGTCCTGCCATCCACTACACTAGCAGACTCAGCCGGTGTTTATGAAATGGGCTGTCAGTCATCTAAAGGAGCGCCTCTTCACATGGAGACAATGCTTGTCAATGCCAGGCAGTTGCACATCAACTCTGTCTGCTCCCCTCTGCCCCATGAGGCTTACCCAGCGAGGCTTACCCAGCGAGTCCTGCTTTCCCCGTTTCGGAGCCTGGCACACAGAGAGGTCAAGCCGCCTGCTCAGAATCACACAGCGAGCAGAGGCAGGGCCGGGTCTAGAAGCCTGGTGTGTGAAGGGCTTGGGAGGTTTGGGGGAGGAGGCCTGAGAGTCCCTCTCACCCTGCGTCCCCAGGAAGGCCGCTGGAATGACAGTCCCTGTAACCAGTCCCTGCCGTCCATCTGCAAGAAGGCGGGCCAGCTGAGCCAGGAGACCACCGAGGAGGACCACGGCTGCCGGAAGGTGAGGGTGCTTCTGGGTCTGGGTCCTGGCGGCCAGCAGAGGGGCTCCGGGGCGAAGGGGGGATGGGAATCCTGCAGCCTCCCGCGGCGACCTCCCTTGGCACACCCTGCTTCCCGCTCTCCAAGCTGCCCCCTCACCGGAAGGAGTGGGGTGGGCTGAGGCGGGGCTGTGGGGAGGAAGCAGAACTCCCCACCCACATTTCTCAGCCTCTTCTCCACCGGGAAGCCACTTTCCAGAGAACAGGAGGTACCCCTAGTCTGACCAGTCTTTTTTTTTTTTTTAAGTTTTGGTCCATGCTTTTTAAAAAATATATTTTATTTTTTTTTTAAAAAATATATATTTTATTGATTTTTTAACAGAGAGGAAGGGAGAGATAGAGAGCTAGAAATGTTGATGAGAGAGAAACATCGGCCAGCTGCTTCTTGCACACCCCCTACTGGGGATGTGCCCACAACCAATGTACATGCCCCTGACCGGAATCGAACCTGGGACCTTTCAGTCCGCAGACCGACGCTCTACCACTGAGCCAAACCGGCTTCGGCTATATTTTAATTTTTTTTAATTTTATTGATTCTATCGATAGAGAGAGGGAAAGGGAGAAGGGCGGAGAGATAGAAGCATGCATGAGAGAGAAACATCCATCGGCTGCCTCTTGCATACTCCCTGTTGGGGATCGAGCCCACAACCTGGGCATGTGCCCTGACCGGGAATGAAAACTGACCTCCTGGTTCAAGGTCAAACTTCAACCACTGAGCCACACCGGCTGGGCATGGCCAGCCTTCACCTGAGTGGAGGCTGCCAGGGTGAGCCCGTGTCCTCTGAGCACCCTGTCTCTGCTGGCACGCAGCACACCATCTGGCATAGGGGGCGCCTGTCTGTCTCTGGAGGAAGGAGGCCATTGTGGGGTCTCCCTCCTTGTGCTCCAAACTCCAGGGGCTCCCAGGTGTTCAGGGGGGAGGGAGGGGAATCAGTGAGTGTGAGAATGAGGGTGAGCGTGGGTGATCAACCCACCTCCCTCCTCCAGCCCCCAGCCCCCAGCCCCCAGCCGAGCAGGGGGTACGTGGTGTAGATGTGTGAGGGGAGATTGCTTGGAAAGAACGCTCTGTGGTATTTTGGCCCAGACGTCCCCATCTGCTGAGGCCACAGTCCCACCCGCCCTTTGCCAGGTGGTTCTTTGTTTTCTTTGGGTGAAGCCCCATGACCACACCCCACCTGCACCCACACTCTTCCCCAGGGGAGGGACAGGAAGCACCAACAGGCATGCCCTCCCGTGGGAGGCGGGAGAGAACTGACAGGCCGGGCTGGAGAGTCTGGGGGACCAGCACGGTCGGGGAATGGTCCCGGGCTCTGGCCTGGTCTGGAGGAGGTGGAGGAGGGGGAAGAGGAATTACTAACTGCCCTGCACCAGGGCTGGCCTACAGTGTATGTGCTGGGCTAATTAGCCATGGTTAGCACTCTGAGGGAGCCAGGGGTCTTAGCACAGCCCTCTGGGCATATGGGATTCCTCTCCCCACCCCACCCCACCGGCCCCAATACGTACACATGCGTCCAGTGAGCACACGCACACCCACACACACACACCAGCTTCTCTGTGCCCTGGCTCCTGCCCAGAGGGCTGCATCTCTCTCCTAACTTCGAGCCCACGCCCCAGGCTTCCCACGTCAAGGCCTGCTGGCAGCCAAGGCCCTGGCAGGCATCTGGAGCCTTCTTAGCAGGAGCAGGGCTGTGGTGAGGACAGGCCAGCCTCTGTGGAGGGGGTTCAAGTCCGGGCTCTCCCTTGTTCTGTCTGTATAACACCAAGTCACTTAACTTCTCTGAGCCTCCACTCCTCATCAGAGAGGCAGGAGCAGAGAGCCCCTGAGGGGAGAGGGGTCTGTGGGCGCGGGGGCCAGGGGGGCATCTGCTCAGGAGCCGTGGTCTTCCTTCCATTGCTCTGCCGCCCCTCGCTGAGGGTCCGTCTCCCCTCCCACCCCCCGGCCAGTCACAGCCGCTGCGCACTCCAGCTTTTCCAGGCCCCCGAGGACCGCCCAGCCCCCTCCACGTCCTGGCCACTCTCCCGGCTTTCTGGCTCTGGTTTCTCAGCCAGCTGGCAATGTTCCCGCTCCTTCTCTTGGTTTACACGTTCGAGAGGAGGCCACGGCGGTCACGGGCTGTCTCCGGTCAGCCCTCCTTGGGCCCTGCTTCCTCCCCTGGCCTGGCGGTTGTGGGGAATGGCGGGAGCGGGAGGCTGGCGTGACAGCATACAGCACTCAGCACAGCGAGGGCCGTCTCTGCTGTCAGACAGCCCCTCCCAGCACATTCCGGATGCCGCCGGCGTCCCCCTGCCCCAGGATTTAGGGGTGAGAGAGGCGTGTCCTCCCCCACAGACACCCCTCTCCTGCCCACTCTCTCGAGCCAGGGTTGGAAGTGGCACAGCCCATCCTGCTACTGGCTGGGAGAGGACCAGGTGACCTACAGCGAGGCCCGGCGCCTGTGCACGGACCAGGGCGCCCAGCTGGTCACCATCACCAACAGGTACCGGAGGGGGAGGGTCCCGGGCCGGCCTGCTCCTATGTCTTGGCCTAATGTGGCTCCTCCGTCAAACGGGGGCGTCTTGTCATCGAGCACAGAAGGACCTAAGATTGTCACAAGAAAGACTCCTGATTATTATTTAAAAAAAAACACACCATTTTATTGATTTTTTACAGAGAAGAAGGGAGAGGGATAGAGAGTTAGAAACATCGATGAGAGAAAATCATCGATCAGCTGCCTCTTACACCACCCCTATTGGGGATGTGCCTGCAACCAGGGTACATGCCCTTGACCGGAATTGAACCTGGGCCCTTCCAGTCCTCAGACCGACGCTCTATCCACTGAGCCAAGCCGGTTTTGGTGAAAGACTCCTGATTATTACGCGACTCCATTGTGGGGTGGGCCTGGGCAGGGGCACACACAGGTAGAGGTGTGGGTTCGATGCCCAATCAGACACTTGGCTGGGTCTGATTTCCTCTGCTTTCTCCTCAGCCGGGCTCAGAGGGCAGCTGGGCTGCTGTGTGTGAGCGGCAAGGCCCCCAGGGATCCCCACTTCCCTCACGGAGTCACCGATCGGACACAGCGCCTCGGCTCCAGGGGCAGGGAGGGCAGCTGGCGTGGGGCCCAGGGCGTGGGGGGAGAGCCGAGGCACGACCCCCTGACCGGCCTCCTCCCCGCAGGTTCGAGCAGGCCTTTGTCAGCAGCCTCATCTACAACTGGGACGGTGAGTACTTCTGGACGGCCCTGCAGGACCTCAACGGCACCGGCTCCTTCCGCTGGCTCAGCGGCGACGAGGTCATGTACACCCACTGGAACCGGGACCAGCCTGGTGAGCCCTCCCCCCGGCACTCCGCCCGCCTCGCCCTCTGACCTCCGAGGGGGACCCGACCTGCCGGGACCGAGACCGGGCTTCCTGGGGAACGGGCCCTGCCTGCGGGGAGGGGAAGCTGTCTCAGACCCCGATTCTGCTGTGTGTTAGCTGCACATCTCTGAGCCTGTTTCCTCACCTGGGAAATGGAGCTACGGGTAACTTCCCTCATAGGATCGGTGTGAGGCTTAAAATGATTCAGATATGTAAAGCCCTTAGACTAGTGAGCACCGTGTGCTTGCTGTTATTATTATCATTTCACATTCATTATCTTTTTTTTTTTTAATATATATATTTTATTGATTTTTTTTACAGAGAGGAAGAGCGAGGGATAGAGAGCTAGAAACATCGATGAGAGAGAAACATCGATCAGCTGCCTCTTGCACACCCCCTCCTGGGGATGTGCCTGCAACCAGGGTACATGCCCTTGACCGGAATCGAACCTGGGACCTTTCAGTCTGCAGGCCGACTCTCTGAGCCAAACCGGTTTCGGCACATGCATTATCTTTTTTTTTTTTTTTTTTTTTTTACCCTTTTAATAACCTGCTGAGGTAGGTGATGAGACTAGTTCAGAGAGGTTAAGCAACTTGCCTACGAGCTCACAGGAGTAAACACAGAGTTAGGGCGCTACCCCCCTCCCTGTCCTCCCGGGCCCCCTCACGGACCGTGTCCCCGCAGAGAGGGCCACCCGGTGGTGTGTCCCGCAGGTGAGGGGGCGCCGGGCACGGCTCCTCCTCGGCATACAGGCGTCCCTTCTCTGTCCTTCAGGGTACAGCCGCGGGGGCTGCGTGGCCCTGGCCACGGGCAGCGCCATGGGGCTGTGGGAGGTGAAGAACTGCACCATGTTCTGGGCTCGCTACATCTGCCGGCAGAGCCTGGGCACACCCGTGACGCCCGAGCTGCCGGGGCCAGACCCCACGCCCAGCCTCACTGGCTCCTGTCCCCAGGGCTGGGCCTCCGACCCCAAACTGCGGCACTGCTATAAGGTAGGAGGCACTGCTGTAAGGTAGGCGGTAGCCCTTGGGCATGAGGGCAGGGAGAGAAGGAAGAGCAGAGAGGCAGCTTACCTTGAGGAGAGGTGGGTTCTCGGTGGGACCCAGCCACGATCCATGCAGCAGCTCCGAAAACACTTTCCCCCACATCGGACTACAGACAGAGAGCATTTCTGGTGGAACTCTTGCCAGTGGAATCTGGGTCCTAGTAGGTGCTCAGTAAATATTTGAGGAATTGATGAAACCATATAGATCATGGGTTTCAGAGTTTCCCAGAGTGGCCAGGCTAGAGATTTGGACAAAATAGAAAATCTTCAGCCCTGGCTGGTGTTGCTCAGTGGCTAGTGTTGGCCCAAACACTGAAGGGCTGTGACTTTGATTCCAGGTCAAGGGCACTTATGTGGGTTGCAGGTTTGATCCCTGCCCTCCACTTGGGCCTATATAGGAGGCAACCAATTGATGTGTCTCTCTCACATCGATGTTTCTTTCTCTTTCTCTTCCCCCCTTGTCCCCTTTCCACTCTCTAAAAATCAGTAGGAAAAATATCCTCTGGGGAGGATTAAAAAATATCCTATATACTGAAAGCCTCATATGCTTTGTCCGGTCATCTGTTCGGCCATTCAACCAATCAAAGTGTAATATGCTAATGATATGATAAGGCTCACTATGATGTGCACTGACGACCAGTGGGCAGTCAACCAGTTGACCAGTCGCCATGACATGCACTGGCTACCAGGGAGCAGATGCTCGGTAGGTTAGCTTGCTGCTGGGGTCCAGATGATTGGGACTGAGCGAGATGGGCCAGACACACCCTGAAGCCCTCCCACTACCCATCCCCAGCTGGCCAACCTCCTGCATCCCTCCCCACCCAGCCCGATTGTGCACTGATGGGGTTCTTCGGCCTGGTCTGAAGAACCAGGAGGTTGTACCCTCTTGCAATGATGGACCTTTCCCGCCCCCCAGTGCACAAATTTTATGCACCAGGCTTCTAGTTTTTTTTTGTGTGTTTTTTTTTTAAATAAAATCTTCAGGCTGCCTCTATAGAAATGGGGATTCACTAGGTAGGGGTGGGGCCTGATCTTTTGTATTTTAAAAAAATATATATTTTATTGATTTTCACAGAGAGGGAGGGAGAGGGATAGAGAGCTAGAAACATAGATGAGAGAGAAACATCGACCAGCTGCCTCCTGCACACCCCCTACTGGGGATGTGCCGCAGCCAATGTACATGCCCTTGACTGGAATCGAACCTGGGACCTTTCAGTCTGTAGACCGACGCTCTGTCCACTGAGCCAAATACGAACAGTTGCGGCTTGTTTCTATTTTTAAACCCCATGGGCTTGGCAGCCACTGATGTAGGCCACGGTCTTTTATCTGAAGTCCAGGGGGGTGAAGGGACTTGCCCATAGCAAACTGTGGCTCTGCTGGGGTGAGAGCCCAGCTCTCTCTCCTGGTGAGCGGGACTGGGCAGGATGTTTTCCAGGAGCTGCTCTGTCAGCTCCCTCCTCTGGGGCTCGTTCTCTGAGGAGCAGGTTTGTCAAAACCAGCCTGGGACCCTGTTCCGTGAGCCCCAGCCCCCTCCCCACTGCTGCCCTGGGAGGGCGGGTGTCCCCGGGGGAGGCGGGCCAGTGGGGGCAGCTCGGACAGCTGGACTCCGCACCTGCAGGTGTTCAGCTCAGAGCGGCTGCAGGACAAGAAGCGATGGGTCCAGGCCCAGGCCGCCTGCCAGGAGCTGGGGGCCCAGCTGCTGAGCCTGGCCAGCTATGAGGAGGAGCACTTTGTGGCCAACATGCTCAACAAGATCTTCGGGTACTGAGCCTGGGGCGGTGGCGTGTGTGTGTGTGTGTGTGTGTGTGTGTGAGACTCTGGTTTTGCAAAGCAGGGTGAAGGCTCCTCCAGTGAGGCCTGTGTGAGGGCTTGGAGTGACCTGTGTGTCTGCTGCTAGTGCCAGGACCGTCTGTGCCCCTCCAGGGGCCCTGGTTTCCCTGGAATGGAGGCCTGGTGTTGCCCACCAGTGTCAGTGCCTGCAACACCCACCTCCCCAGACTCACACACTTTTACACAAGTAACTGCCCTCCCTCACCCTCCTCCATTGCAAAACCTTGTTCAAGCTGTTCCAAGCTGAGTGTTTCCCCCCCACCCTACACCATTCCATCACAACACACGCTCCTCAACAAAAAGCTTTTCCTGAGGGACAGGAGGAGAGAGGCTACAGCGGTGACCTCCTCTCTGTCCTTGGGCTCCGGCATCCTGTGGCTCACACACACACACACACACACACACACACAGCACCTGCAATCCCCTTAGCCCCGGGGACAACCCAGAGGGGTCCAGGCTCCCCGAGATCCAGGGCTGTTTCCTCGCGGCAAACATCATGATTGCATTCTTTCACTAGTAATTATAGTAGCTCGTACGTATCGCTTCTCACCAGACACCAGGTACTATGCTAAGCAGTCAATTCTCCCAGCAGCCCTGGGAAGTAGGTACTGTCATCGGCCCTGTGAGCTGATGGGTTGAGTTGGTCCCCCAGCTGGTCCGCGGGTGAACCAGGCCTAGAGTCCAGGTTTACCTGATCCCAGAGCCCCAGGTCTGACCACCCCACCCACTTCCTAAGCTCCCTCTGTCGAAAACCTTCCGTCTTGTTGGCAGAGCAAGCCCCACCCAAAGGGAAGCCAGGGAAGGGAGCCAGGCCACCCACCACCCCATGAGCTGGGTGCGGGATCCACTGGGGGCTCCCTTTCCCCAGGAGGGTGAAGCCTAGATGGAGAGGCCCCAGGCCCCGGGGAATAACCAGTCCAGAGCAGGGGGCTTGCTGGACACTTACTTCTCTCACTCCCATCTCTTCTGCCCCACCCCCTGGGCTGTGCTGAAGTGAGTCTGAGCCCGAGATCCACGAGCAGCACTGGTTCTGGATTGGCCTGAACCGTCGGGACCCCAGTGGGGGCCAGAGCTGGCGCTGGAGCGATGGCCTTGGGGTGAGGAGGCCTGATGGGGTGGGCGGGGCCTAATTATGGGCGGGGCTTTGTCGTGGTCTTTTGGGGGCGGGGACAGGTCCTGGAGATGGGTGAGAGCTGTCAGAGGTACTAGGTCTCTCTCTACCTTGGGCCGGAAGGACCGTAAAGGAAAGGGCCGGTGGTGGGGGGTTCCCAGCTCAGCCCAGGTCTCTTGTTCGTCTGTTCTGGGGACTGGGTACGGGGCAGCTTGCGCCTTGTGCCTCAGGGCCTTCTCCCATGCTGATCCCCGCCTTTAGTTCTCTTACCACAATTTCGACCGGAGCCGGCACGACGATGACGACATCCGGGGCTGTGCGGTGCTCGACCTGGCCTCCCTGCAGTGGGTGGCCCTGCAGTGCGAGACGCAGCTGGACTGGATCTGCAAGATCCCCCGAGGTGGCGCGGGGTGGCTCTGGGGGCCTGGGCCTGGGCGAAGGGCGGCGGGCCGGGAGCCAGGGGCAGGCCTGCTGTTCCTGCAGCGTCTCTGTCTTCCTTGTCCCTGTAGGCTCCGAAGTGCGGGAGCCTGACGGCAGCCCCCAAGGTGAGGCCCCCTGTGCACCCCTATCCTCCCCCCACCACCCCAGAGCAGTCCAGAAAGGGGAAGAGTCATCCCCTCCAGGGTAGGCCTGGCTGGGACAGCATGAAGAGAGTTAGGGGTTCCAACCAAGAGATAGGGCACCCCAGCTCCCTTGGTCCTGGTCTGCTGGACTCGCCGGCCCTCCAGCCCTGGCTCTGCCCTGGCTCTGCCCCGGACCCACCTTGTCCTCCAAGGCCTGGCAGGCAGCGCCCGCCTGGCCGCCACGCCCACGCTGGTGCTGCCCCCCGCAGGCCGGCGGGAGTGGCTGCGCTTCCAGGAGGCCGAGTACAAGTTCTTCGAGCACCACTCCACGTGGACGCAGGCTCAGCGCATCTGCACGTGGTTCCGCGCCGAGCTGGCCTCCGTGCACAGCCAGGCCGAGCTGGACTTCCTGGGCCTCAACCTGCAGAAGGTGGGCGTGCAGGAGAGCAACGGGGGGGCGGGAAGGGGGGGTGAGCTGGGGCACAGGAGAGGGCCGGGGAAGGAAGGGCAGGGCTGGCCGCTGAGGAGGCCCTGCAACTCTCACGTGCCCACCGGCTCCCTTAGTTCTCCCGGGGCCAGGAGCAGCACTGGTGGATCGGCCTGCACACCTCGGAGAGCGACGGGCGCTTCAGGTAGGGGGCGGGTGGGTAGAGGGCAGAGCAGGGGGCAGCGGGTGCGGGAGAGGGCACTCGCATGGACGGCTAGCCTCGACCCCAGGCTGGAGGTAGGGACGCTGCACAACACAGACACAAATAGGCCTGCCCCTCGATGGCTGTGTGACCTCGAGCAGGTGACTTAACTTTTCTGGGCTTCACTGTTCTCATCTGAATACGAAAATAATGAGGTATTAGAACTAGGAGGTATGTGAAGTCCTTAGCACTGCATCCAGCACACGGTGGGGCACTAAAGCATGGCAGCTGGAGTCACTCGTGAATAAAGTCTGCTTAGGAACTGGGCGAGGATATAATGATGGGCCAGGAGGGGCCTCTTCACACGCAGGGCCCACCTACATGTGAGGGACCAGGCGCACACGGGCATCAGCACACCGTTGCTCGGGAGCCCTGCTCAGGGATTCTTAGACTCCTCCCGTCAGAGAGAGATCAGTGCCCCCGGCGGGCTGGGCCTTGTCTGGTCCTTTGGTTTCCAGCTGCACTGAGCCCTGTGGTCCCACTTCTCAGCCTGTCGATGAGCTCCTAAAACCTGGGTCCTTCCCGCCCCCCTCCTCCATGGCCTTCATTCGGGGGAGGGGAGGCCTGGGCCAGTGCTGGCGTCAGCCCTGCGTGGTGCCATTGCAGGTGGACAGATGGTTCCGTTATAAACTTCATCTCCTGGGCACCTGGCAAGCCTCGGCCCATCGGCAAGGAGAAGAAGTGTGTGTACATGACTGCCAGCCGAGGTGAGGGCGAGGTGGGGCGGAGAGGGTGCGGAAGCCGAGGAGAGGGGCCGTGTTGGGGGCAGGAAGGTGAGCCTGTGCAGTCGGTGGCCATCAGTCTCTTATCTTCCTTCTTCCCACAACCCAGGGAGGGCTGGGCCGGAGCGGGGAGGGCCCGCCCGTCCTCGTGGCTGCACCGCCGCAGGGAACCTGGTTCAGAGTTGGGCTCAGGCTCCTCGGGGCATGAGAGGAGGGTGCTGCCAGCCCTGAGTTGGGGGTGGGGGGGTTGACTGTTCTCTCCTCCCCTTTCTGCAGAGGACTGGGGGGACCAGCGGTGCCTGACAGCCTTGCCCTACGTCTGCAAACGCAGCAACAAAACCAGAGAGACACAGCCCCTCGACCAGCCGCCCGCCGTCCGGGGGGGCTGCCCCTCTGGCTGGAGCCAGTTCCTCAACAAGGTAGGAGGCTGGGGGGCACACACACGGGAGTCAGGAGAGGACGTGACTATGAGGAGCCCTCGCCTCAGGAGTCCTGGCCCTTGGCAACATCAACGTCATGGCCTCTTGCCAGTGCCCACCAGCCTCTCCCGGGCCCCACGGCCAGGGCTGGACCCCTTGGAAAATGACTCACGTAGTAGCATCTCCTGACCCATCAGTAGATAAGATTGTCCAAATCGTAGACCAGCAGTCGTTAAACTTTATTTTTTTATTAAATATTTTTTTTATTGATTTTTACTGAGAAAGGGAGAGAGAGAAACATCGATGTGGGAGCAAAATATTGATTGACTACCTCCTACACACTTTCAGTGGCGATCAACACTCAACCCAGGCATGTGCTCTCACTGGGAATTGAACCATTAACCCCTCAGGGCACAGGTTGATGCCCAACCAATTGAGCCACACGGGCCAGGGCTCATTAAACATTTTGATATATTAGGGAAACAAAATACTGAACATAAAGTTTGTGTGTACATATATGTGTGAGTGTGTGTGTCTATAGAAGATATATATATTTACCTCCATGCTAATGTGACTAATATATATACACTGAGTGACCAGATGATGATGATTTCTGAACGCATAATAATCTGGCCCCTCAGTGTATATCCTATATAATAAAAGGCTAATATGCAAGTTGTCCCCTCAACCAGGAGTTTGACCAGCAGGCAGGCCGGCCAACTGCCCATGTCCCCTCCCCCCTGGCCAGGCTGGCCAGACCCCACCCATGCATAAATTCATGCACTGGGCCTCTATTATACACACACACATACACACACACACACACACACACACACACACACACACATACCCTGAGTGGCAGATTATTATGTGGTCAAAGATAATAATAATCTGGCCACTCAGTGTATAAGAAAATATGCATGAGAACAAAACCATATATAGCATGAGCTAAAGATTTTTTTAAAAATGTATATTTCATTGAATTTTTACAGAGAGGAAGGGAGAGGGATAGAGAGTTAGAAACATCGATGAGAGAAACATTGATCAGCTGCCTCCTGCACACCCGCTACTGGGGATGTGCCCGCAACCAAGGTACATGCCCTTGACCGGAATCGAACCCAGGACCTTTCAGTCCGCAGGCTGACGCTCTATCCACTGAGCCAAACTGGTTTTGGCTAAAGATTTAAATACAGTATTTTAAGTTGTTAACTTTTTCTGTATTAGTAGTATAAAAAAAATTGTGCTCACTCAAAACTCATCAATCATAATCACTATTAATATTTAAATAATTATAAAGAGCACAGTGGCTGAATGTTCCTCATTTAAAAACATCTTGGTCTGACACTTTGTGATTCATGACTCACGGGCCTTGTTTGAAGTTCAGATTTTTTCCAAACATGATTTTAATGGTTGTTGCTGATTAAAACGTTGCCTCACAAAAGACAAATAGATCGAAGTGGAAAATGTTCATCCATCACTGGCTGGGCTTTCTAAGCAATGCTCTCCATTTTTTCAGTCCTTCTGCCCCTGTTAAACAATCTGCCTCATAAGCTAATCAGAAAACCCGATCAAGTTGTTTTTGTTTGTTTTTAATTTTTTTAAAATGAATTTTTATTGATTGAAGAGGAAGGGAGAGGGAGAGAGAGATAGAAACATCAATGATAAGAGAGAATCATTGACTGGCTGCCTACTGCACGCCCCCTACTGGGGATCGAACCTGCATCTCCGGGCATGTGCCCTGACCAGGAATCGAACTCGTGACCTCCTGGCTCATGGGTTGATGCTCACACCGGCTGGGCCTTTTTTTTTTTTTTTTTTTAATTGTTGACAATTAGATGCCCCCCACCCCCCCGTTTTGTCCTCCTCCACCCAGCCACCTACCCACCGCAGGCCTTTGGTGCACTGTTGTCTGTGTCCGTGGGCTGTGCATAGATGCATAGAAGCTCTTTGGCTACTCTTCCTGCTCCCCCACTCCACTTCCCTCTGAGATCTGCCAGCCTGCCCCATGCTTCCATGTCTCTGGACCTATTTTCGTCATCAGTTTATTTTGTTCATTAGATTCCACACATGAGTGAGATCCTGTGAGCTTTGTCGTTCTCTAACTGGCTTATTTAGCTTAGTATAATAACCTCAAATACTCCCTGTAGAGCGTGACTTTCTTTCCAAAAGTGGGTCTGTGTGCACACGGGGCTGATCGGTCAGACCTGATTAGACCGTCATTGTTTTCACTGGCGGCTAAAAGGAGCTTAGCGCAGGAAGAGAAGGTCACCGTTTTCTTGTTGTTGATGCCAGCACAAGCTTCAGATCCTTCTTTGCAGGATCTCCTAAGTCCACTTGGCCTGACTGTGAGGATTAGGCCAGGCAACCTTAGATAATTTAATCCATAAACCTTTGTCATACTTTGGAGTACAGCCAGACTCTTAGTATCATGGAGCTCTTCCTCTCAGAATTCTCAAGCAAATATTATTCCTTTTCTATTAAAAAAAAAAAAAAAAAAAAAAAAAAGAAAAGTAAGACATGTGCATTATTAAGACTTTGGAAAATACAGAAAGAGCCGGGACCAGTTTGGCTCAATGGATAGAGCGTCGGCTTGGGGACTAAAGGGTCCCAGGTTCGATTCCGGTCAGGGGCATGTACCTTGGTTGCGGGCACATCCCCAGTGGGGGGTGTGCAAGAGGCAGCTGATCGATGACTCTCTCTCATCGATGTTTCTAACTCTATCTCTCTCCCTTCCTCTCTGTACAAAATCAATAAAAATATTAAAAAAAAAAAAAAGAAAATACAGAAAGAAAATAAAACTCACCCACACTCTCCAGAGCGAACCACTGTCAGTATTTGTTACTCCCCTTCCTGCCTTTTCCCACGTAACTGAGTTCACATTAAATAATGCAGTTTTCTGACCACCTTCCCCTCCCCCACAAGTGTTGTATTTTGAGCATCTTCCCATGCCGTTACATTTTCCTAAAGATTATTCTCATGGCTTCTTCCACCTCATATGAAACGGAATATATCTTACGTATATTTTTTCTTGCTTGCACCGCCTCGGAGCAGAAAGTTACTGTAAATCATTTAGGTTCGGAGACACAGTCTTCACTTGGTGAAGATTTCCCACAGGGGGCGAGGGGCTCCTTTAACCTTACGGAGGAAGGCGGGTGGGGGAAGAGGAACATGAAAGTGCAAGCGTTAGAAGCTGCTGCCTCCCAAAGGCCGTTCAAACATACAGATAAAAAAGATTCCCGTAGATCAGTGGTCGGCAAACCACGGCTCTCGAGCCACGTGCGGCTCTTGGGCCCCTTGAGTGTGGCTCTTCCACAAAATACCACGGCCTGGGCGAGTCTGTTTAGAAGAAGAGGTGTTAGAAGAAGTTTAAGTTTAAAGAATGTGGCTCTCAAAAGAAATTTCAGCCGTTGTCCTGTTGATATTTGGCTCTGTTGACTCGTGAGTTTGCCGACCACTGCCGTAGGTAATCCTGTAGGTTCAAAGGGCAAGCTCACAGATTTCAGACACTTCTGATGTGTCTGAAGAGGGTGCTGAGCGAAAAGCGAGAGGGAGCTGTCCATCCATCCGCCCAGTACGTGGCCCGGGTGCGTCCTCATGGCCAGTGGAGTTCGGTGGCCTGAAGAAGTCCTCCCACTCCCACTCCCACTCCCACTTCCTCGGGGCGTGGGCAAGGGCAAGTGACCGCTGTGCTGGGCTCAGAGGGGGCTCAGGCCTTGACCACGGACGCCCACGTGTCCTGGTTCTGAGGCCCAGAGCCTCCCGGGGTCTGCTGCTGAGGGGGACACGGTGGCGTTCCTGGGCGGGTGGGACAGGCAGGTGGGCTGGACATCACGCCTCCCCTCCTCCCCCAGTGTTTCCGGATCCAGGGCCGGGACCCCCAGGACCGGGTGAAGTGGTCAGAGGCGCAGTTCTCCTGCGAACAGCAAGAGGCCCAGCTGCTCACCATCGCAAACCCCTTAGAGCAAGGTAGGGCCAGCCCCGGGGGAGCCCCCGTGTCCTCTGGCACCGTCCGCAGAAATGGCCAGCCCCGGGTGCGCCCCCCCCCTCCCCGCTCGCTCACAACTCTCTCTTCTGGGGGGACCGTAGCCTTCATCACAGCCAGCCTGTTCAATGTGACTTTTGACCTTTGGATCGGCCTCCATGCCTCGCAGAAGGACTTCCAGTGGGTGGAGCAGGAGCCTCTCCTGTATGCCAACTGGGCACCGGGGGAGCCCTCCGGCCCCAACCCCGCTCCCAGTGGCAACATACCGGTGAGGAAGCCCTCCCCACGCCCCTCCGCCCCCACCCCTGCCCCGCCGCCCTCGCTGGCCTTCACCCCCCGGGTCCCCCCTCTGCCAGCTCTTTGCTGGGAGTGCCTTTTGGGGGCAGTGGCACAAGGTGAGGCCGCTGCGGGGCTCCTCTGAGCAGCTCCTTCCCCCAGACCAGCTGTGCGGTGGTGCTGCACAGCCCCTCCTCCCACTTCACCGGCCGCTGGGACGACCGGAGCTGCGCGGAGGAGACGCACGGCTTCCTCTGCCAGAAGGACACAGGTACGTGCAGCCCCGGGCGGGCGCTCTGGGCCATGCCAGGAGGAGCAGAGCGCGGCTCCTGAGCTCACCCCCAGAGTCTTGTATCTGCTGAGGACGCTGACGGGCAGAAAGGGGGCAGGCAGTGCCAACCAGAGGGAAAGGCAGGGCTCAGGGGCAAGGTGTGGGGTGGGAAAAGCTGACCGGGAAAACCTAGACACCAGGCATCCGGGGTGTGGAGCGCCCCAGGGGCTGGCTGAGGCGCCTGCAGCTCCATGCGTGGGCCCCTCTGCCCTGGGTTCCTGGGGTAGGGGCACCTGAAGGCTCTAGCTTGCTCCCCGGTTCATTAGCAAGAATATATCCTGAGCCGAGACCGGTGTGGCTCAGTGGATAGAGCGTCGGCCTGCGGACTGAAGGGTCCCGGGTTCAATTCCAGTCAAGGGCATGTACCTTGGTTGTGGGCACATCCCTAGTAGTGGGTGTGCAGGAGGCAGCTGATCGATGATTCTCTCTCATCCATGTTTCTGTCTATCCCTCTCTCTCTCTCTCTCTCTGTAAAAAATCTATAAAAAATCTATATATATTTAAAAATAAATAAATTTAAAAAATACTTCCTGAATCATCACCGTGACTAACGCTCACTGTGCCCAGTGGAGACCCGGTCTCTGCCGGATGCCTGGGGCTCCCCCAGCCTCGTGCCTGGGAATGGGGTGAGGGAGGCAGAGCACGGCCTGAGCCCCGTCTCCTTCCCTGCAGACCCCTTGCTGAGCCCATCCCCAGCGGCATCACCCCCCGCCCCGGGCACTGAGCTCTCCTACCTCAACGGCACCTTCCGGCTGCTGCAGAAGCCGCTGAGCTGGCACAGTGCCCTCCTGCTGTGCGAGAGCTACAACACCAGCCTGGCCCACGTGCTCGACCCCTACACCCAGGCCTTCCTCACGCAGGCCGCCCGCGGGCTGCGCACGCCACTCTGGATCGGGCTGGCCAGCGAAGAGGTCAGCTGCCCAGACTCCCCCGATGCCCCTCCAGTCCCTTCCAAACCCCCCGCCTCCCCTGGCTGCTCCCCTTCCTCCTGCCCTGACGGCCCCTCCCGCCCAGGGCTCCCGGCGGTACTCCTGGCTCTCGGAGGAGCCCTTGAGCTACGTGGGCTGGCAGGACAGGGAGCCCCAACACATAGGGGGCTGCGCCTACGTGGATGTGGATGGGGCCTGGCACACGACCAGCTGCGAAACCAAGCTGCAGGGGGCGGTGTGCGGAGTTCTCGGTGGTGAGTGCCCGCCTGCTGGGGTGGAGGAGCGGGTAGGAAGGTCGCGGGCCGTTTGGGGAGGACCCGGGGCCACGTCCTCAGTCCTGCCTTCCCACAGGGCCTCCTCCCCGAAGGATACACTACCACGGCAGCTGTCCCCAGGACCTGGCCGAGTCCTCGTGGATCCCCTTCCGGGAGCACTGCTACTCCTTCCACTTGGAGCTGAAGCTGGGCCACAAGGAGGCGCTGCAGCGCTGCCAGCGAGGTGGGCGGGGCAGGCTAGAGCCCCTGGGTCTTTGCGGTGGAGACCCCTGTCGTGGACACTCAGACCCCATGAAAGCAGTCTCCACGCTCCACGCTTCCCGTAGGCCCGTCACATTTCCATAGAGAGGCCGTGGCGCCATTGCATGGATGCACCCTCCTCCCTGCTGTGCACACATGAATGCAGGGACCCCGCACCATCCTCTTACTCAGCCTGCCGGAGGGGGCTGGGGCCTCGGGGGGGGGGCTCTGCTGCCCAGGGGGGCTGCTCCTGGCCTGACGTGGACCTCGCTTGTGTCCAGTGGGTGGGACGGTCCTGTCCATCCGGGACGAGATGGAGAACGTGTTTGTCTGGGAGCACCTGCAGAACTCTGAGGACCAGACGCGGGGCGCCTGGCTAGGCATGAACTTCAACCCCAAAGGTGGGTGCCCGGTGTGGGGTGGGGCGGGGAAGGCCTCTAGCTGTAGGGGCGTGGTGGGGGTGAGGGCCCGTGGGAGGGAGAACGGGTACTAGAACGGGCTCGCTCTCTCCCACCTGTTCCTGCTCCACCTTGTCTGTCCTGCCCGCACCCCCTCAGAGCCTTCTCTCCCCTAGGGGGCACCCTGGTCTGGCAGGACAACACGGTTGTGAACTATTCCAACTGGGGGCCCCCTGGCCTGGGCCCCAGCATGCTGAGCCACAACAGCTGCTACTGGATCCAGAGCAGCAGCGGGCAGTGGCGGCCTGGCGCCTGCACCAACGTCACCATGGGTGTCGTCTGCAAGCTCCCTCGAGGTGAGCGCCCGGGCAGGCACGCAGCTCAGCCTCCTCCCAGCCCCTCGGAGCCGGCGGAGGTGGGGCCGGGGGCCGCTTCTCTTCCTGCAGGAGAACACGGTGCAGGGGGAGGCATGCACAGAACCCTTCCCTGGGGTAAACGGGTCTGCAGGAAGGACCAGCTCGCCCACAAATTCCCAGGCTAGACAGCAAACCCACCATTTTGTAATGGGTAAGGGCATGGACAGGGTTCAAGCCCCGGGCAGACCACGTACCGACTCTGGGACCTTGGGCAAGTTACTTAAACTCTGTGGCCTCAGTTTCCTCTTAGGTAAAACTAGAGGCCTGGTGCATGACATTCGCGCACTGGGGGGCTGGGGGGTGTCCCACAGCCCGGCCTGCGCCTTCTCGCAGTCCGGGACCCCTCGGGGGATGTCCGACTGCCTGCTCCCCAAGCTGGCTGTCAGACATCCCCCAAGGGGTCCCGGGCTGCCACGGAGGTGGGAGAGGCTCCCAACACCACCACTGCGCTCTCCAGCTGTGGCCTGGCTTCTGCTGAGCCGCGCTCCCCCTGTGGGAGCACACTGACCACCGGGGGGGGGTGGAGCACACTGACCACCGGGGGGGGGGGAGCACACTGACCACCAGCGGGGGCGGGGGGGGGGGCAGCTCCTGCATCGAGCGTCTGCCCCCTGGTGGTCAGCGCGCGTCCTAGTGACAGGTGGCTCCGCTGTTTGGTTGATTTGCATATTAGCCTTTTGTTGTATAGTAGGGGTGTCGAACTCAATCAGAGAAGGGGCCAAAATCTAAAATCCAGCCTAAATCGCGGGCCGAATGGTTTACTGAACAGTCATAAACTGTCATTGTGATGGAAACGCCGCGGAGTGCAGTGATGACAGCGCGGTGCGGGCCACATTGCAAGGCCTGGCGGGGCGGATTTGGCCCGCGGGCCTTGTGTTTGGCACATGTGCTGTATAGGATGGGGGTCATAGCAGAACCCTCAGGATTAAATGAGCTACGAAAGCCTCAGGCCCTCGGCGGGGCCCTAGCTGTTTGTTTCTTCCTCTGACGACCACTCCTTCCACTAACCAGACCCCCCCCCCCCTCTCCCCGCAGCCCAGGAGAGCAGCTTCGCCCCGTCAGGTGAGTGGAGGGCCGGGCTGAGACGCCTCTTCCCCTCGGTCCGGTCTGGGCGGCCGGCGGTGCTCCCTGACCCCGTGGTGTCCGTCCCCCACAGCAGCGCTCCCCGAGAACCCGGCGGCCCTGGTGGTGGTGCTGATGGCCGTGCTGCTGCTCCTGGCCCTGGGGGCCGCGGCCGTGATCCTCTCCCGGCGGCGGCAGAGCGTGGAGCGCGGGGCCTTCGAGGGCGCCCGCTACAGCCGCAGCAGCGCCTCGGGCCCCGGCGAGGCCACCGAGAAGAACATCCTGGTGTCTGACATGGAGATGAACGAGCAGCAGGAGTAGAGCCCAGGGTGTGGGCGGGCCCCGGGCAGGAGGCGCTGGGTCCGCCCGGCCGCCCCCCGCCGGCTTCCCCGGGCCGATGGCCTGTGGAGGGATGTGCTTGGGGGCTGCCGTTGGGGGCCGGGGCTGGGCAGAGCCTGGGCTGGTGGGCTCCCTCCCTCCCGTGAGGGCCGGGCTGAGACCTGGCTGAGTGCACGTGGTATCTCCCTGTTTTGGGGTCCTAAGGGCTAACGTCTTATCACCTGGGCTTGTGCCTCCATGGTAACCAGAGGCAGGATGGAAGCCTCTTTATTCCCAGTTTCCCCCCCTCCACCCCCCCCCACCCCGCTGGGCCTGCTGACCAAGCCCCAGAACCCTCGCCTTGCAGAGCCTGAGCAGCCTCCGCTGACCCCTCAGCCAGCCTCTGTCGCTTCTTCCCTTCCCACCTGGCAGCCTCAGCTCTGAGCCCCTTGCCCCGGTCCCTCTTCCTGCCTCTCACCAAGCCCTTCCTTCTGAGCCAGGGTCCTGGGGCTCGGGGAGTCTTCCTGCTCTTGGTGGGGGGTCAGTTGGAGGGCTCTGAGCATCCATTACTCCTATGCCTGCTGGAGTGGCCTTGGGGTGTGGCAGGGGTGGCCTGGGTCTGGCAGCTGGACTGGAGGCAGGACCAGGGAGAGATGCTCAACCTTGTGTGGGGACCGGGCTAGGCTGGGCTGTCATCTCCTGCCGGTTGGGGGAGGGCTCTGTGAAGTTCCCGAAGAGTCCCCCGTGGGGACCAAAATACTAGTAAGTTCCTCTCATGGCTCCAACTCCTGGCTCTGGTCTGGAGAGAGAGGAGGGGGGTTGGCCGAGCCTGGGATGGCTCCAGGGCGCCCTCTCGCGGGGCCCGGAGGAACAGCACCCTTGCTCCTGAAGTGGCCCATGCCCGGAGCCCACTCGGTGCCTTTGCAAGAGGCCGAACCCCACCCCACAGCGGAGCGCACGGCCGGTCCCGGTGCCACATCGCGGGACAATGTGAACACGGACTCGAAGGCATGGTCCTTTTTTTGTAGTTTTTAAAATGTGCCGTTGTTGTCAAAAAAAGGAAAAGGAGAAAAGAAAAGCACACAAATAAAACACCTGTCAGAGGCTTGAGAGAGGGGTCCCTGCCTTGGCCTTGTTCCTCATATCGCTTACGAGATAAATGGCATTGCTGAGCTGGCATCGTCCGTTATTTCCGCAGGGCACCATCCTGCTTCCACCTCTGGGCCCCACGGGGGCGCCTCGATCTGGTCTCTCCTTCCCGGGTCTTGCCTTTCGGGGCCTGCTCCCCCTTCTCTCTCTGTTCCTGGGAGGTGTGAGGTGTGAGGTATGTGTGTGTGTGTGTGTGTGTGTGTGTGTGTGTGTGTGTGAGTGTGTGGGAGGGCGGGGGGAAGGGAAGCTCGGGCAGCTTAACCTTCACCAGGTGTAAATGGGAGAACAGACTCGCCTCCCAGGGTTGTGCTGGGAGATTAAGTGAGGCCAGCTGTGCAGAGCAGTTAGCGCCTGGAGCCCCAGCTTGTCCAGTAAGTGCCCCAGACATGTCAGCTGCTCCTGCTATTCCTGGGCTGTGGCTCCCAGGGGAGCATTGGAGGTGCCGGGGCCAGCCCTGGCCGGGGGCTCCACACCATCCACCTCCCAGGGCGGCCTCTGAGCTCCGGGGAAGCTCACACTTGTCCTTGGGAGCCTGGGCTCTGAGACCACCCAGAGGCGGGACCGCCGCCCGCCCCTACCTTCCCTGCCAGAGGATACCTGAGCGGAGACACCGCATGGAACAGAGCCAGCCCTGCCAGCAAGGACGGTCCGCTGTGCCAGGTCAGCCGGTGCTGAGGAGGGCTGCCGCGGGCCCGGGAGGGGTGCTGGTTTGGACACAGGGTGGGGCGGGTTTCGCCAGAGGTAGGGGAGGGAGTGAGCGGTGCCATCGTGCAGCCCGGTCCAGGCACTAGGACCTGCAGGTGCCCGTGGCCCTGTTGTGGGGGTCCCTGGTGCTTCGGACACCAGCAGGAAGCCAGTCTGGCCGGAGCTTGAGGCTGGCAAACTGCGGCTCGAGAGCCACATGCGGCTCTTCGGCCCTTTGAGTGTGGCTCTTCCGCAAAATACCGCGGCCTGGGCGAGTCTGTTTTGAAGAAGTGGCGTCAGCCAGGACCGGTTTGGCTCAGTGGATAGAGCGTCGGCTTGGGGACTGAAAGGTCCCGGGTTCGATTCCGGTCAAGGGCATGTACCTTGGTTGCGGGCATATCCCTGGAAGGGGGTGTGCAAGAGGCAGCTGATCGATGACTCTCTCTCATCGATGTTTCTAACTCTGTATCTCTCTCCCTTCCTCTCTGTACAAAATCAATAAAATATATAAAAAAAAAAAGAAAAAAAAGAAAAAGAAAAAAAAGAAGTGGCGTCAGAATAGTTTGGCTTTCCAAAGAAATGTCAATCGTTGTCCTGTTGAGTAGAGCGGAAAGTCAGCGGGAACAGCTAATCCGATTGACCTTTGAAGAAGGTGGTTTGGCTCGTCGCTACAGCGGTGCACGTGCGTGTGTGTGCGTGTGTGTGTGTGTGTGTGTGTGTGTGTGTGTGTGTGTGTGGAGGGGGGGAGTATCTTGTCTGTGATTTTTTAAAACAAGTTTCTCCTGCTCTGAAGAGGTAGCAGGGCCACATGGTTCAAAGCCCAGTGACATAGAGAGGATACATGTTGCGAAGGCTCGTCCTGTCCTCTGCCCGCCGGGCGCCACGTCCTGAGTCCGAGGTGCAGTCCGAGGCCCTCCTGCAGGGTCCTGTGCAGCCCCAGCAGGGACAGCAGGACTCGGGAGCGGGAGGGAGCCCCTATCCCCCGGGTGGGGGTGGGGTGGGGCCCAGAATGGCGGATCCCCTTCACCCTGAAGTGATTCCCTCTCCCGACTCTGGAGCAGCTTCCTTTTGGGCTCCGTGCCCTGTGGGCCGTGGGCCACAGCCCTGCTGCCGGGGAGCCACCTGGGCAGCATCCCTCGTGCGGGGAGAGGAGAGAGCTGAGGGGTGACGGCAGGATGGCAGGTGGCAGGGGCGGCGGAGGAAGTGAGTGACCAGAGGTTTACTTTTATATTCTGTTGATCCTTAAGAGAGGGCGGAAGGGAGGGGGAGAGGAACACCTTTTGGCGTACAAGACAGCGCACCAGTTAACTGAGCCACACCGGCCAGGGGGAGTGTCCAGAGGTTTAACTCTACCCACGAAATGCCTGTTCTCACTCCTCTCTCCTCCCCTGGGGGCTGGAGTCCTTGCCGGAGCCCCTCCCCGACCCACGAGTGTTTGGGACCGTGTCCTGGGTCTCGGGCCCCCGCAGACCCGGTTCTCAACCTCCTTGCTGGCTTTCCCCGCTGCCAGAGGAGAGGAGGGCAGGGGAAGGCTCGGGGCCCGGCCTTGGCCTCTGGCTCCGGGACAGCCCTCCCTCATAGAGCACACGGCAGAGCGTCCTGTCTGTCTGCGCGTTCCAGTTCTCTGAGCTCTAAACCACCCCTCCTTGTGCCGTCTGTGCCGGGAGGGGGGTGCCCCAAGACCCATCCCGTGGGCCCCAGGCGAAGGGCACTGCGTGCCAGGCACCGAGCCAGCCTGGCCTGGCAGGACGGAGCCGGCCCAGCTCTGGCCGCCTGGACGCTCCGTGACGGCTCTCGGAATCCATGAATGAAGGGGAGGGTGGTGTCGGGCCTTTCGCAGCCTCTTCCTGTCGGGGCAGAGAGGCCTCCTCCCGGGTGTCCTGGCAGCGCCGGCCTGGCCCAGTGGGCAGCGCGGTGAGGCTGCCGGGGTGAGGAGCCGGCCAGCCACACCATATGGCGCTCCTGGAACGGCGCTGCCCAAGCCCTGCCAAGCCCCTGCCGGGCTGCTGCCGAGAGCCGAGTGTGTTGCCGGGACAAGGTGAAGATGTTATCTTGAGGGAGGCCCCGGGAAAGAAGGCGGGAAGAGGGAGGAGAGGGGAAGGGAGTTGGGGTACATGAGGGGAGGCAGCTAGGGGGCCAGCGTCAGGTCAGAGTGCCCAGATGTTCGGGGCTGGCCTGATGGTCTTCATCTCCGGGGCCTGGGCAGCCCGGAGCCCCGGGACAAGGCGGACTTCAGGTTCGAGCTGCAGACCTCAGTCCCTCCGTGTCCGGAAGAGCAGGCGGGGAAGGACTCGAAGCAGGTAAATGGGTCTTTCGACATCGGGCCATGGCAGGACTGTAGTGTTAGCCCTTAGGTAAGGTGAGCAGGCATCCCGCTTTTGGTGGGGCAGTCCCGATTTTTTAAAACAATTTGTCCCCCGTCCCGCAGGACGAACAACAAATTGTTGAAAATTGGGACTATTTGGGACTTTTTAAAAAAAATATATATTTTATTGATTTTTTTACAGAGAGGAAGAGAGAGGGATAGAGAGCTAGAAACATCGATGATAGAGAAGCATCGATCAGCTGCCTCTTGCACACCCCCCTACTGGGGATGTGCCCACAACCAAGGCACACACGCCCTTGACCGGAATCGAACCTGGGACCTTTCAGTCCGCAGGCCAACGCTCCATCCACTGAGCCAAACCGGTTTCGGCTAATCGGGACTTTTTAAATTTTAATTTAATTTAATTTTATATTTTATTGATTTGTTACAGAGAGGAAGGGAGAGAGATAGAGAGCTAGAAACGTCAATGAGAGAGAAACATCGACCAGCTGCCTCTTGCGCACCCCCTACTGGGGATGTGCCCGCAACCAAGGTACATGCCCTTGACCGGAATCAAACCTGGGACCTTTCAGTCCGCAGGCCGACGCTCTATCCACTGAGCCAAACCGGTTTCGGCTAATCGGGACTTTTTAAAACGCCGCGGGACGCGGGATAAATTGTTGAAAATCGGACTGTCCCGCCAAAAGCAGGACGTCTGGTCACCTTACTGAAAGGGGATTCTGGGCGATGGTTATCTGGTTGAGCTGGCATCCCTCCTGAGCTTCGAGTTGCTGCGGCGTGGCAGGGTCCTCGCAGTATGTCCCCGCTGGCTCACACAGAGGCCCTCTGTCTCTCTCCGGGGCTTGGGAAACTTGGGGTGCTGCCGCTCCTCTCCCTGGGGTGCAGGGGACTCTGGAAGCCGCCTCAGACATGCCAATCCCCCACGATGATGATAATCAAAATGCTTATCGTGTCGTGACCACGGCTGCCCTGTTCTGACTGCTCACCATGAATGAACTCACCTCACCTTCCCAACACACCCCGAGGTGGGTGCTATGACCCTTTTGACAGATGAGGAAATGGAGGCACAGAGAGACGAACTTGGCCTGCCACTGCCCCCCTCCCCTGCACCCTGGGGAATGTTGGGAGAGGGCAGTGGGTACTGGGGAGCACCCCTTGCGATCTTGCAGTCGGTCTCTGAGACTCAAGGACTTTGTCTCAGCCTGTCATCTCTGCAGAAGGTCTCGGAAGGTTTCTTTTGAGTCGAAGGGCCAAGAATGGCCTCTTTCCTTTTGTTCCACGGCTTCCCTCCCAAGGCCATCTCAGGCTCCCCGGCCAACCCAAGGCAGAGCGCTCCTGCCAATCCCCTTGTCGGCTGAAATGGCGGGAAGCGAAGATGAGCATTCCCAGACCCGGAATTCAGCGCGCACGTTGTCTTTATTTCGCTCACCACCGCGATCCAAATGCTTGATTATGTCCAGTTTTATTCTAAGGGTGGGTGACATCCACATGAGCTCGCTTAGGCTTTTCTGATCCCTTGGACACGTGATAACAGATGCACAAAATAAATCCAGATAAAGCACAGCCGCCCAGACACGGTTCCATGCTCTGGCAGCTCGCTTGCTGCTGAGATGCTGGTTGCAGTTCCCAGGGAAGGCGCTAGGTGGGGCCATGCTCACTGCTCTAAGGGCTCGTTGCAGAACAAATACGGAACACTATTTTTGTTTTTAGACTTTTCCTAAAGGTGAAAAAACTCTTCATATTTCCTTTGGTTATCGAACACATACGAATGTGGCTTTTCCGTGGAAGTGACGTGGCGGAAAATGAACTTTCAAACAGCGGGGGGAGGGGGTACTTATATCGGGGCAGCCTGGGCTGGAATTATGGGGATTAAAGTCCAGAATGCACAGAGATGAGGAGGGAGATTGATGGGTATATAGACATGTACACTCCTGGACATTTTAAAGTTCCCATTTATTGCCTTAACGGGAGTGTGCTCTCTCCTCCTACTGCCATCAGCTCCTCTGGGTCCCACTTCCCTCAGCTCACCAGAGTGGGTTGGTGGTTTTTGGTAGCTGCCTCTTGTCTGTGTGTGGATCCTTAGATCCCTGACTCCCCTGCCTCATGACACCACTCCAGCCAGATGCTCCTGTGTATGCTCCCTGCCTCTCCTTCCTGCCCCCGCCTCTTTGCTTGCTGGGGCTCCACCATTCTCCACCGCCCTTTCTGCTATGCACCCGGCTCCTGCAGCTGGGTAAGGATGCTACCCTCCCTCCCAGTTGGTCCAGAAACACGGCCGTGGCCAACAGAATGACGGACACCCTGCCAAGTTGGGCGTGTCACTCCTGGAGCTTAGATGTTGTGAGGATAAATTTTATGTGTCAACGCCGACTGGGCTAAGGGGTGCCCAGATAATGGGTAAAACGTTGTTTCTGAGTATGCGTGTGAGGGTGTTCTGGGAAGAGACTAGTCTTTGAGTTGGTAGACTGTATAGAGAATATTGCCTTCCAAGCATGGGCGGACACCATTCAACCCGTGGAAGGGCCCGAGGGAATGAAAGGAGGAAGGGCAAATTTCTCTGTGCTGGAGCTGGGCCATCCATCTTCTGCCCTCGAACACCCACGCTCCCGGTGCTTAGACCTTCGGACGTGGACACAGGCCTCGGTTCTCCTGGTCCTCGGGCCTCTGGGTTTGAATTGAAAGGACATCGCCAGCTTCCCCCGGGTCTCGGCTTACAGACGGCAGGTGGTGGGACTTCTCAGCCTCCGTGATGGCGTGAGCCGATCCTCCTGATACCTCTCTTTCCATATATCTGTTCAAATCCTATGGGTTCTGCTCCTCTGGAGAACCGAGTCCCGGTTTTCCTCCCGTGTGACCTGCCTCCCGGGGTTATTGTGAAGATTGAAGAAGAATGTTTATCACCTGCCAGCGTCCTCGCCAGCTGTCTTCAGTCAGTCTCCATCCCTAGTCCCAGCCCCCACGACCACTGATCTTCCTGTCTCTGCAATTTTGCCTTTTCTAGAAATTGCATGTATTATAAATAGAACCATATGCTGTGTAGTCTTTCGTGTCTGGCTTATTTCACCCAGCATCCTATTTTTGCATTTATCAGTAGTTTGTGCCCACCATCTTTTATTTTTTGACCCCTCGGGCCTCTCCCTCTCTCTCTCTCTCTCTCCCTCTCTCTCTCTCTCTCTCTCTCTCTCTCACACACACACACACACAGAAGCACACAATGTTCTCATGAGCCTTCTCTGACCTTTTTCACCCTGTCTGACCTGGTCTTTGGGCCCCAAGACGTAATTAGGAGGGAAGAGTGGAATCCACACACCAATCAGGTCCTAACCAGCCCCCCGCGGGTCCAGGATGTGTCACCCCCTCCTGGTAGTGGGGGTGGGGAGCAAGAAGTGGGGGTGGGGAGGGGGCTGTGGCTGTGCTTCCCTCCCCTCCCAGTCAGAGGCCCCGAGCCTTTGCCCAGTGAGACTGAAACAAGCTTACAACGAAGTTGGGTAAATTAAGTCCATTTACTGAATACGCAGCTCGATTCCACTCAGGGTGGAGGCCTGGGCAGGTGCCCTCAGCAGAGGGACCCCAGGCCGCTGGGCCTGTCAGGGCTGTTGGGTCCTTTGGGGCTTCTGGGCTGAGGGGCAACAGCAGGGCAGCCTGTTGGGTGCTCCACGAGGCCAGGCTGCTTGGCCCGCGCTGTCTGGGTCTGGGCTGGTGGCTTTGCTGTCCGCAGACGCTGAAGCCAGATCCCGAGAGGGGAGTGGCAGAAGGTAAAAACAAAAACAAAAACGCTAACTGTGGTCTCAGTTTCAGTAAAGAGAAGGGAGCAGGGCACCTGGGGACGTAGGAAGGGCGGCTGGGAGAGAGGTCTCCGCCGAGCTCCAGGGCCAGCTCCTTGCTAGATGACCCGGCTGTTGTCTTCATAAATGCCGTTTTCATTCCCGTCTCCCAAATCGGAACCTGGAAAGCGAGAAGACCTCTCAGGACGCAGAGCCACAGCGGACTGCGGGGTCTGCCACGGAGGGCATGCCATTGCTGCCCCTTCTGCCCCCCCCCCCAGCCCCGGTGGCCAGCCGCACACGTGCCGCGGTGCCTGGAACAGCGTGGGGAACAGAGACGGCTAGACTTCCCACTGGGCTTCCCACCAGGCCAGGCGGCTGGACTGTAAGCCCCTCGACAGAAGCGTCTGACTCATCTCCGGGCCCCCACCAGGCCTGGTGCTGCACGTGTTTGCCGGGTGAACGGCTGGAGGAGGCTCTGGGGTAGTGCCCCCACCTGAACTCTCACTTCCTTAACTTGTCAGGAACCGGGGGGATTGGCCTAGGGCAGTGGTCGGCAAACTCATCAGTCAACAGAGCCCAATATCAACAGTACGACGATTGAAATTTCTTTTGAGAGCCAAGTTTTTTAAACTTAACCTATATACAGTAGGTGGGTACATTGTTATTAACGTAATTAGGGCACTCCAGTCGCACGCAATGTGGGCGCCTGCACGTGGTGTTCTATGGAAGAGCCCCACTCAAGGGGCCAAAGAGCCGCATGTGGCTCGCGAGCCGCGGCTTGCCGAGCACTGGCCGAGATTGTAAAGAAGCTTTTCAGGGAGCGGAGGGCCATGTGACGGAAGGGAAGACAGAGAGGCCGTGGGATGGCAGTGGGGTCTGGGTGAGGAGGTGGGATGGGGTGGGGGCTCTTTATTCTTGGGGAAAGTCTTGTTCTCGATACATTTCTTTTCCCATCTGCTTGAGTGGGTGCCCCTGGCTGTTTGGAAACTGTGTGTGACTGTGGAAGAAGGGTGGGAGTAGGAGCCATGGACACCCTCCCACCCCTACCTGGGCCCTCTCAGCGTCCACCTCCGCCCCGGGAGGCCCCAGCCCCACAATCTTCCCTGGCTCCTCACTCGCCCCGTTCTCTTCCCCAGAGTTGCCTTGGCTTGTGCAAATGGGGAAGTGCTGGGGCCCAGCCTTTGGCCGGAGGGCCTCCTGCCTGCTCCCGCTCACACCTGGACTGAACGATAGCTGCAGGAAGCACCGCCCCTCCCTGGCCTCGGGCTGGCTGTGGGACAGTCCTCTGTGCCAGCTGGGAAGCACGGTCAGGGGGGCTGGGCCACCACAGGTGCGACAGGTTGTCAGATCCGGGCACGCCCACCCAGGGCCTCTCCCCGGCGGCCCTCACCTCTGTGCCACCTGTGCCACGTGTGTGTGGCTTCGGTTACCAGGTGCAGGGGCGGGGTGCCTGGTGAGAAGGCTGGCATGGGCCCCACGGAGCCACAAAGAGGCTGGGACTCTGCGCCACCTCCTAGAGGGCCCTGAGGTTTTGCCTTTTCTCCTCCCCATTCACCTGAACGGAGCCGGGGCAGCAGGTCACAGCGGTGACTCAGCGCTGGCAGCCCGTCTTACCCGAGTGCTGCCAGCCAGGTGAGGCGTGCCAGGCTGCTGGGCACCAGAGAGGCGTGCGGCCCGCGGGAGGGTGGGAGGCATGGGCTCTCTTCTGGATCAGGGCCCTGGCGGGAAGCCAGGCAAGGGCGGCATCTGACCAGGTGCCAAGACCCGCCCGGCTGTGCAGGGCTCGCCTCCACCCGGCGGTGCCTGGGGCCTCTGGGGGGTGTGCGCGGCTGGGGCCGGTGGAGAGGACCTACATCCCCGTTTCCAGGGAGAACTGGCTGCCCCCGCACTGGGGCTGGTGCAGGGAGGATGCAGGTCCTAAGAGCTAGTACCAGGTCCCTGAAGTAGGATGGCGAATAAATGGCATCTCTAGAGCAGCGCGGGAGGGCAGCATCGCAGCCAGGGCATTTGCAGGGAGGGCTCCCGGGGTCCCCTGCGGGGAAACCCCCTCTTTAAGCATCACCCCGGGGATGCTCTCCTCTTGCCCTTCAATGACGCCAGGCTCCCCTGGGCCCGTGTGGCCCTTCCCCAGCTCCGCGGGGGGAGAAGGTTTCATCCTCCGGGCCTCCCCCCAGCAGGAGGGCGGCAGCGACCCATGCCGGGCGCTAGGGGGCGCCCCTGCCCTGCCGAACCCTCCCGGGCGCGGCCGGCGGCAGCAGGTTTCCCGAACCGGGAGGGGCGCGGGCGCCGCCGGGGAGGGAGGGGCGCGGCCGGGCGCGGCGCGGAGACCCTGCCGGAGCCCCGAGCCCGGCGCCCAGGGCGGCTCGCCGTCGCGCCCTTTCCGGAGCCGGGGCTGCGGCCGGCAGCCGCGATGGGGACCGGCGGGACGCGGCGCAGGGGCGTTTTCCGAGACGAGGGGGTGGGTGCCCGCGACACAAAGGTCCTTTCTCGCCCCGCCGCTCCCAGCGGCCCCGGAGGGCGAGCCGGGGAGGGGTGGGCCCTGGCAGCGGCGCTGGGTGGCGGGGGTGGCCGCCGGAGTGGCTCCCGGAGGGCACAGGACTAGGACTCCATGGGCTCCTTTTGTGAACGGAGGGTAGCCCCCGCCCTCCCAGCCCTGCACCCCGTTCTCAGAGGAGCGAGCCCTCAGCGGTGAGCTGGGTTCTCCAGAGTCCCCGGCTGGGCCTCGCCCTGTGCGGCTGTGAGCGGGTTCCGCTTCTCCTCCAGGCCGGTCTGGGGGGAGGGGGTTCCCAGAAGCAAGCCCCTGACCAGCTGCGCCCTGGCCGCCAGGGGCCCCCTGGGCCTGGGCCTGGGCCTGACCCTGACCCGAGGCTCCGGGAGGGCCAGGAATCTCTCTCTGGTGAGCCCAGGTGATTCTGATGGCAAAGCCAGTGTGGGGTTCACTGCCCTACACCTTTTAGGACAGGCAGCGGTGACATTTCTCCCTGGAATAGCTTCTGGCGACGGAATTGTCTCATTCTCGCCCCTCTCTTCCCCCCCCAGTTCACTGTAATGTCTGTTCTCCCCGCAAGCCCTTCTGCTTTCAGAACCACACCTTCTCCGGCGGGTTTCCTGAGGTCCTGAGCCTGGGTGAAGGCAGGTTTGCCTCCCAGGAGGGACCTTTGTCCGGAGGCCTGGTTCCGCCTCTGAGTCCAGCGGACCCACTTGGCTGGCGGAACGGTGAGGAAATCCAATAAGAGCCACCAGCTTGTGACTGAGGGTGGTCCCTTCCGGCAATGGCCAAAGAGCCCCCTTCCAGGGTCCGGAAGGTAACCCTGGAGGCTGGAGAACGCCAGCGGAGGACAAGGAAAAGGGACAATCCCGTGGCGCGTCATCCCCCCGACACCGTCTCCCCTTTTCCCTGCTTTCAGGGGGAGCTGGAACCCGTCTCCGCTCTGGATCAGCGCTCGGACTTGCCTTGATGACTCGCTGCTGCTACCCTGTTTCCCCAAAAATAAGACGGTGTCTTATATTAATTTTTTCTCCCAAAGTTGCGCTACGTCTTATTTTCAAGGTGTCTTATCTTTCCATGTGCTAGGTCTTATTTTCGGAGGATGTCTTATTTTCGGGGAAACACGGTAGTTCCCCGAGCTCGGCGGGGTTATTTTTGCCCCTGGGTGGTGGCCATTACTTCCTCCCACAGTATCGGGTTCCACACAAGTGACAGAAAAAGTAAATTAGCAAACACCCTCAACGTGGCAGGACTGACCCCAAAACCTACTTTCATTTTCTTCCGGCCTGGGTCGTGGGAAATTTCTTGACAGCTAGGAGAAAGAAGACAGTGAGAAATGAATTGTCTTTCCAAGGCAACTGTGAACAGCTGTGCCGTCCCCTAGCCGCGGGGACATGCTCGGGACGCGCTACCGTCACCTTAAAGGGGCAGAGAAGCTGAAACCGGTTTGGCTCGGTGGTAGAGCGTCGGTCTGCGGACTGAAAGGTCCCAGGTTCGATTCCGGTCAGGGGCATGTACGTTAGTTGTGGGCACATCCCTGGTGGGGGCTGTGCAAGAGGCAGCTGGTCGGTGTTTCTCTCTCATCGACATTTCTAGCTCTCTATCCCTCTCCCTTCCTCCTCTGTAAAATATCAATAAAAAAGGGGGGGGGGCAGAGAAGATGCGCCGAGGTGCCCCCTGGGGGGCATGCTGATGCTCAGCGCAGGCCTCAGCCCGGCTCCAAGGACAGCAGCAGCGAACCCGGGTCACCTTGGCCGGCTCGGGGCTTCTCATGTTGGCAGTGGAGCAGGCTTGCTTCCTCCCTGCAGTGGATCTGAACAGCGACATCCCATTCTGAGGGTCCGAATCCCATTTCCAGGCCGCGGGGGCGAAGGCCTGGCTAATCGGCCACTTGCCTCGCCCCTGGCTTTTAAACAATCGCTTGCATTCTCTGCCCCGGCAGGAAGCAGCAGGCCCATCAAGGCCTTGGGCTCCCTCTTTGTTCTGACTTTATGGCATTTTGTGCCACAATGAGAAACACTGTGTCCTCCAGTGGTGGCCCGTTGTGCCAGGCTGTGAGGATGTGGGATCCTGCGGAAGGCTGGTGCTCTTCCCCCGGGAGGAGAGGGCGTTTGTGACAGGCCCAGGACAAAACAAGGGGTGCCGGACACTGTTGCTGGGGCAACAGGCTGCCCAGGGCGGAGGCAGCCTTGGCCTCTGGGGCGCCTCTCACCCACAGGCCCAAGGCAGAGGGCAAGAGGAGGATGGAATTTCTCACAGAGGGCCGTCCCCGTTACTTGGTGAATTATACATCAGGGCTGTGCTAAGCGGCCTCATCCTGCGCCAGGTGATCACGTCTCTCTGAGCCAGCGCTCACACTCCACCAGGAAAAGCCATCATGGTGAGTGTGGGCCAAGGGCCGGCCGCCCGTGTTTTGGGTGGCGCTGGTCCTCGGAGGCCAGAGTTTTGGTTTTGAGGAAATGGGATGAATGGGGAGGGCTTAGGGAAAGTCCGTCCAGCCTCACACAGAAATGGATCAGTGGGATTTGAGAGCTATTTCAAATCTCTACCTGCCTCCCGGGCCAGCCGCTGCACTCCCCCCCCCCCCCCCCCCCCAACCCCCCAGTTTCTTCAGGTGAACGTTTTCCTGCAGGTGCAGTGCTCACACAGCACACCTGGGCAGGAGACAAAGGCAGGCCTCATCCAGCAGAGCGCTGCAGTGATGGAGGGCCAGGGGCCCCTCTGCCCTCTGCCTTTTGCCTTTCAGCACACTGGCTGGGATTCTCTGTTGTTTTGTGGAGTTTAGTGAGTCAGGCCCCTAAGGGATAGAGAGGAGCTGCCATGGGCAGGCAGGGAGAGAAATTCGGGGTATAGGTACATTTCAGGGGGGAGGGGGAGAGCATGGTAGAGATAAGACCTTTGGCTATGAGGGCCCCCAGGACAGGGGGCCTTGGGGGGACAGGTCCTGAATAAGGGAGTGCCCTATGTGGGTGCTGAAGGGAAGAGAGGACAGGGAAGGCAAGTCTGTTTGGCTTCACCTCGCAGGCCAGCTTTGTGTCCCCCTCAGAATAAAGGGTGAGCCACGTGGGGTCAATGAGGCTGGTGAGGCTCGTGTCCTCGTGCTGGGCACTTGCACAGATCGCCATTCAAGGCTTCCTTCAGCCCGTATGGACCTCCCTCTGTGCCCACCAAGTCCGCATTTCTCATTTCCAGTTCCCATTCCCACTCCCCTCGTAGGCCCCTTGCCCTGTGACAGTGCAACAGCCACCCAGCTGGTCCCGCTACAGCTGCCCTCCTCATGGCTGCTCCAGTTACCTCTCAAACACGCACACCTCTTGGCCTGCCAAACGCAGCTAGAAATCCCTAAGTGGCCTTCCAGAGCCTAACACAAACCCATCACCTCCCGCTCTCTGCCAAGCTCACTTCCTGCCAGCCTTGGCCACACTCAATTCCTTGACTTTCCCAAACACTCAAGACTTTTCAGTGTCTGAGCCTTTGCATTTCTTTCTCCATCGAATGCCCTTTCCCTCCGCACCCACCTTTGTCCACCTGCTAAATTCTTCAAGACTCAGGGCAATCATCACCTCCTCAGCTGATCAGTGGGTGAGAGCAGTAATGGAAGGACCTTGGCTAGCAGGCTCTCAAAGCAGCGGGAAGACTGATGGCCAAGAGGACAACCTACTCGGGTGAAACACAATGTCCCCCTGGACAGCCGGTCCCGGAGAGGGAGTCGAAGGAGGGGGTGAGAACGGTGGTTCCTCTCATCTTTGCTCCGTTTCCCCACATCTGGCTCAATCTTCTGTTGTAATACAAGGCAGGTTGCTGATATCCTTATTACATGTCTATATTCTCTTTTAGACTCTGAGTCCTTTATAATCTTTTTATTCCTAGAACTTAGTTTAGAACTTGGTACATGGTAGGCACACAGAAACATCTTTAAACAGGTATATCTATACCTGGAAGTTGGATGTTTCTTTACCAGAATACCTTTCTCTCCACCAATGTGTACTATCTCCAAAAACATAACTCAAGACCCGCTTCCTGGAAGAAGTGAGGTTCTGGTTCATTAATTTATTGTTTGAGCATCAAAGGTTATTGAGCACCTATACTGTGCCAGGCATTTTCTAGGCACTGGAGGACTGTAGGGGTCAAAAGAGATATGGGTTCCAGGCCCCCATTGCCAATGAAATGTTTCACCTCCATTCTACAAGACCATGTCTTTCTTTGATGGTCAGTCAGCACTGATGGAATCAATCAATGCTCCTGGCATCCACAGAGTCTGGGGCAAGGTCAGCGGTAAAATAGGATTCAGTGTGTGCCAGCATCACGAGAGAAATGGAAGTCTGGGCTTTGCCTTCAGATAGCTCACAGCCTCACTGGGGAGATACATTGGCTGTTTGTGGGATCCTTGGAAACCCCGGTCAGGGGACACCTGGTGTTGTCAATGCCACAGCCTCTGGGAATCCACCGGGTCTGCCAGTTCTCTTGACCAAGTGTGACTTTCCAATTATTTCCCAGATTTATAAATATGATATTTTCTGTTTAAAAAATTTCAAGTTGATCATAAGCTCCTTAAAAAAGGGGACATCAAGACATTGTGTCTAGTAGGTGGCCAGGTCCTCACTGATACAGGCCGGGGCACGAATGAATGAATGAATGAATGAGTGAATGAATGATCATCACCACTGACAGGCACTCACCACTGGACACCTGTGAGACATAGCCAAGAAATCCGGTGTGAAGGGTTCGCCCGTTTGGTAGGTACAGGACAGGGAAGGTGGGCTCACTCCTTACGCAATGCCTCTCTTTTGCTAAACATCACTCACAGATTCCAAGTATTTTCTATAAGAAAATGCCGAGACTCGAGTCCAGAAACATGAACTTGACCTTGCCTTCCTACTTCCATTTGTGTCCCTCTTACCCGGTCATTTGTCCCGGTGACTGCGCGGTGGTTTAGCGGGTGAGACCTATTTCAGGGTTTCCCATTAAATGTGAGCTGCGGTGAGAGAAGAATGTTGCCCTGTTCTCTCTGCTTCCTTCCTGCGCTGGTTCCCAGCTGGCTTCTGGGTCCCTTCCTCTTCCTCTGGGATAGTTTTCCCAGAAGGCTCCTCAGAGCCAGTGCTCGGGAGCCTTGGTGTTCAGCCGTTGGGTCGCACTGTTTGTTGTTTGCTTTGCTGGCTCGAAGGCTAACCCTGCCTGCGTTAGCTTGCCGATGTGGCAGCCATCTGTAGCTTATATCAACACCGGGGCGCTTTGAAGTTCAGTGTGCAATAAAGAGTTCATTAGGAAGACGTGGGACCATGAAAATGAGGTTACAGAAATGTTAACAAAGGATCATTTCCTGCTTCCTGTACTATTATTTCTTCTTGTTTTAGTGTATTTCTCTGAGGAATTTATGTCACCATTAAAACTACGGAAGAGTTAAAGGAAGGACAGGCCAGGTCAAAAAGAGGGTGAGATTCCTGAGGAGATAGCTTGGCAAAGACCCAGCCTGTTTTCTTAATTGAGAGCTTAGGGTCTAAAGGGAGAACTTAAGCAGCAGCAGAAAAAAAAGAAAAAAAAAGAAAAAAGAAAAAGGTAGGGACAAATCTAGAACTCTTATGACTAATGGTTTGAGTGCAGCCTTTCAGTTTGGGTTGACGCCAAATGGATGGCAACAGTGTCCAATCATGCAGGGCCTGCGGCAATGTGAGCGCCATTTGGAGTCACTGAATTCCAGCCTTCAGGCGGTGACCACAGCAGGTGCCTCTTATCTACTGGAGGAGGAAGAGGAGGAGGAGGGGAGGGAGGAGAGGGAGGAGGAGGGGGAGGAGGAGAGGGAGGAGTAGTAGGAAGAAGAAGAGGAGGAGCTGAAGGAGGAGGAGGGGGAGAGGGAGAAGGAGGAGGAGGAAGAGGAGGAGAGAAGGCTGATTAGAGAGAGAAAAGTGCAAAGAAAGGGAGGTTCAAGGGCCAGGGTGGCAGAGGTCATTAAGACTGTCTCATGGTGGCTTGGTCACTGTCACACTGGCTGGCTTTCCAGTCCTGACCTTCTGACATGAACTGGAGTCAAGTTCCAAGCCTCAAGGGGTTCTGGGAACCCCAAAACACTAAAAGTAGATCAGCCGCTGGCATGACCTTAAGGTAGAGGAGGGGGCCTGGCCTGCCAGCGCTCTCCCCTGGCCCGGCCACAGAGAAGCTTGGTGACCAAGAGGGAAGTGCCTTGGGGCTCAGAGTTCTGGCTTGACAGCGATCAAGACACTTCAGAGGCCCACCAGCCCACCTCCCGCATTGTGGCGGGCTTGGCTCCGGTCGGGCTCCGGGGAGCAGCTGACCCAGGCTTCCGCTGCCAACCTCGAAGCCTCCTGGAGGGCCCTGTGCTCTTGTTAAAGGAAGGGATCATTCCCGGCCTCTTCTCTAAGGGCCAAGGGTGACACCAGATGCCGGAATAACATTCCCTGGGACCCAAAGCCAAGACCACAGCTCCCCTGTGGGGGAGGTCCCTGTTTTTCACGGGCCCTGGCCTGTGGGCAGTGGGTGTGCCCACACATGGTGCACACCCAGCCCCAGCAACCTTGCTGGCCTCTATTTGGGGGGCAAATATCCCTAGTGACCCACTCGCCTAGGGGACCGTTTAATGACTACTCATGTTTAGTAGTCAGCAATCATGTGATTACCAGTTCCTTTTCAGCCAGAGGACTGTGCATACACTTGGTAGCTGTCTCAGTCCTGACAGTGACAGTGCTGTGTCCTACGGCGAGGACGTCAGCAGATGGCACGTCTCATGAACAAACACCGCAGGGTTTGGGGGCCCGGGCCGCGCTGGAGCCCGACTTACCCGCTCTCTCCCCGCCCGGCTGTAGTTGAGTCTCATGAGTTCCGCAAACCTCTGCTCGTAGAGGTGGAGCAGCAGCACCAGGTACAAGCCGGAATTCATCAGCTCGTTCTGCAGCTGCAATGGGAAAAGAAGGCTCTTCAGTTCGTCGATAAAATATTCACGGGGGGTGACAAGGCCAAGGGGTGACAAGGCATGGGACAAGAGCCCAGCTGGTGGCTTAGTGGTGGAGCGTTGACCTACGAGCCATGAGGTCATGGTTCATTCCCAAGCCAGGGCACATGCCCAAGTTGCAGGCTGAAATCAATTTTTAAAAAAATGTATGTTTAAAAAAGGGACGAGAACCCAAGCCCCAAGGTCAGGCCTGGCCGTGAGGACTAGAGAACAGAGCAGGAGGGGGTCCTGGGTAGAGGGCAGGCAGCCCCGGGGGGAATTCTTCGCTATTCAGGGAGGCTGTCCAGCCTCCAGGCCATGACGTGGGGCATGGGAGGGTCCTTCGGGATGGGAGGGCGTTAGGAAGGTGGTGGGAGGGGTATTAAGGGTCTTCAGAGGCGCTGGATGCCAGCAGAGACACAGGGATGAAGAGAGCAGTGTGTATGTTGGCCCAAGTTCCCTACTCACTGGTGTGGCTGGAGTATCTGTGGCAGGTGTTTGTTTTGGGTTTTTAAAAAAATTTGGCCTGGGCTGGGGAGATGGTGAGGTGGGACCATATTAGGCAGAAGTGAGGAGTGTGTGTGTGTAGCCGTGGCCTCTGAGAAGGGGTGATGCTTGTCTTACGAAGGCAGACTTCTGTGGGAGAGTCTGGGCACAGGTGTCACAGGAGGGTTACTGTATTTTCCTAGATCCCTCATTTGCCCAGAGAAAGAGCACAGGTCTTGTTCATTTTTTAAAAAATGTATTTATTTTTATTTACTTATTTAATATATTTCTATTGATTTCAGAGAGGAAGGGAGAGGGAAAGAAAGATAGAAACATCAGTGATGAGAGAGAATCATGGATCAGCTACCTCCTTCCTGCATGCCTCCTACTGGGGATCAAACCCACAACCCGGGCATGTGCCCTTGACCAGAATCAAACTTCGACCCTTCAGTCTGCAGGCCGATGGCTCTATCCACTGAGCCAAACCAGCTAGGGCAGGCCTTGATTCTTTTTGTTTTTTTTTTTATTTTTTATTGATTTAATTATTTTTTACAGAGAGGAAGAGAGAGGGATAGAGAGTTAGAAACATCGATGAGAGAGAATCATCTATCGGCTGACTCTTGCACACCCCCTACTGGGAATGTGCCCGAAACCAAGGTATATGCCTTTGACCAGAATCGAACCCGGGACCTTTTGGTTCGCAGACCGACGCTCTATCCACTGAGCCAAACCGGTTTTGGCAGGCCTTGGTTCTTTACGTTACTATCTTCACTTAATGATCTCACCTCCTTGCCCCTCATCCAGGCTCATCTATTACCATTTAATCCCCAGAGAGCGTGTGCCTGGCAGGGTCTCAGAATGCACTGTGAACTCCAGGGCCTTTGCACATGCCCTTTCCCCGTTTGGGCTGTTGGCTTGTTTTTGTGCCTCTGTTTTGAATGTCCCCTCTCCACCGTTTTGTTCTTTCATCGCTGTCACAATGTCACTTCCTTACAGGAGCCTTCCTAACCATTGTTTCAGGCATCCCCTACTCCTGCACTCCTGAGCATGTATCTTGATTTTGTACACACCGCATCTAACCCTGGTTCATGCTTTCGCCTTTTCCTGGTGGGTGGGTTGTGTTTTACTCTTCTCACTGGTGCTTAGGGGGTAGGGAGGCGCAGGGGGCGGCCCTGGCCCCCGGTTGACCACGGCTCTTCTGTCCTCAGCTCCCTTGGTGGTCTGTGTGGCGAGGCCTCGCCCTGTGGACGCTTCATTGACCTTCAATAAACCAGTGGCATTAGCGACGACTCCTCCCCTCCCCTCCTCCACTTTAATCCCCCATCTGTCCTCAGGCCAAAGCCCAGGGGTGGGGCCTTGGGACGGAGCCAGACGGAGCCCCAGCTCGGGAAGCCCCCGGGAGACCGGATCCCGGCAGAGGGCGTGGCGGGTGCCTGGCCCTGTTGGGAAAGGTCCCAACTCTGACTGTGCTCCCGGGACGACTGCAGCCGGCCCGCCACAGTGACCGCCTCGGGGCCTCTTCCTGGCTCCGCAGCAGCCTCATTCCCGTCCCACAAGGGCAGCCCGGGAAGCTGGCACCGCACACACCTCTTCCAGGACTAACCAGCTGCCGGAATGGATGCCCAAGCTGGGCCAGGGCCGATGCACTCTCCCTTCTGAATCGGGGCCAACTCTGGGTCTCGGGGGTCACTGGCCCCAAGGCCACTGCTCAAGGCTCCCCCGCCGCCCTGCAGACTCGTCCTCAGAGGCTCTGCCACTGTCCTTGGCAGTCGGCCTCCTATTTTTAGACTTTAGTCACGTTCTGTGCTCTTCTGACCTTGGCCTGGAGTGGGCAGAGAGGAAGCTGCTTGTTTTCACCGTTTTCTGCTTTCATTGCCTCCTCCCGCTTCCCCGTGAGTGGGTGTCTCCTTTGTGTCCGTCTGCAAGCCACCTTCTCCAGGAAGCCTTCCTAGCCTGCCCCTCACCTACCTCTTCGAGGCAAACCACGCCTCGCCCTGTTTGCTTTTCCAGGAGCTGCCGCTCTGGCCCCTGCACTGTCATCGCCGGTAAGCCTCTTAGGCTCAGAGACACCCCGGTGCATAATGGCAAATCAATCAGCCAGAAAATGGCTCGGAACGATCAGGTTTGTCAAAGCGTTCAGGGAAACCATTTACTTTTTTTTTTTTTATGACTCAATAAGGCCCGGAGGCATGCAGATGGGAAAATATCCACTAATGTTTTCTGCAGATAATTTGAAAAGTCACTCCTAGCAGATTGTGTCTGCTCGCTGGTCTGCGGGAGGGGACCTGTCACGCGGGCGTCGTGGATCTCACTGGCCGCCCCGCAAGCTCGTGATGCCCCAGAGGGGCGGGGCCGGCCACTGGGGCGGGGAGGCGTCCTCCTCACCGCGGCCACACGTGGGAGGGTCGGCTGTCACCCGGCGCTGTGCTTGTCTGCAAGGGCAAAGGGGCTGGGCGTTGGAGTGTTATTTACTGGGCGACTCCTGACCCACCCTCCCCCCACCCAATCGCATTGCCCTTCAGTGCCCAAGTGCACTGTGGGGGGAGGGGGGGAGGGGCGGGAGTTGGGCGTGGGGAGGTCTGGAGTGCTCAGCTCTCCTGCCAGCTGTTTTTCTTTCTTCTCTCCCACCCCCTCCCCCGATTCATTTTGTTAATATTCATTTCGACCAAGAGATTTGCCACCGATGGAAATTCTCCATTCCATCCACTTCAGAGAGGACTGCCTGGCTCCACGGTTCTCTCAAGTCTTCAAATGGGCTCCAGGGATGCTCCCAAGTGTGAGGGTGATGAGGCGCCTGCGTGTGTCCAAGGACATCTGTCCGAGGCGGCGATGGAGCGAGGCCAGGCCTGCGCTTCAGAGCGACGGCAGCCTCAGTCCCGCCGAGACCCTCCTGCGCTGCAGGGCCCGATGGCAGAGCGCGTCTCCTCACCGTGGGCACAGCACCGAGGGTGGGCACAGCCCGAGGGGCAGCCCGGGGCCATCGAGGGCTACGCCTTGGAGCAGAGTTTCATCTGTGCACGAGTGACTCCCCTTTGATAGAAGGGGAGCAGTCACCACTGCTCTGCCTGTCTCCCCAACCCATTATAACAGAACGAGCTAATCCTAGTGGACACGGTATTTCGCAAAACCGGAGTGTCCTGTGAGGGGGGAGAATGAAGATAGGGTTCAGGGCAAGGACCCTCGTGCCTGGTTGGCTCCTGTGCTTCGAGGGCCTGGCCCAGTGCCTGCTCAGTAAATATATGCACATGTGAAAGAGTGAGAAAAGAACGGAACATTCTGGATCAGACAGTGGCCCATTGGGCCGTGACCTTCGACCCTGGTAGCTCCGACATGAACATGAATCAGAATACGGAGGGAACCTTTTAAAACAAGGTGGCTGTGCACTAACTCCTCCCTGGGCAACCCCCCACCCCCACCCCCAGTTTATGATTCAGGAGTCTGGGGTGGGACCCAAGACATGCGTTTCTAATAAGTTCCCAGGTGATGGTGCTGCTGGTCTGGGGACCACCCACTTTTGGGAACCACTGCTGCAAACTAAGGACCAACAGCCGGGAGCTAAATGAGCTCCGTTTGGCCGGCGGATGAGAGAAGGAAAGAGACGAACGTCTTCGGCTGGAGAGAGTACTCCGCATTTTGCCACAATTGCCGCTACCCCCTTTTGTGACACTTAGAAGATTCTGATCATCTGTGATCTGCCTGTGATCTAAATTTGTCTTAAACCTGTTTTCTGCCCTGGCCAGTTTGGCCTTCAGACTGAAGGGTGGTATGTTCAATCCCTGGTTGGGTCACAGGCAGGGGCGGGGGGGGGGGGGGGGGGGGGGGCAACTAATTGATGTGTGTCTCTCACATTGACATTTCTCTCTCTCTCCCCCTCCCTTCCACTCTCTCTAAAAATCAATGGAAAAGCTATCCTCAGGTTAGGATCATCATCATCATCAACAACAACAACAACAACAAAACATACCTGCTTTCTCCTGGCCCCTTTTGGAGCTCTCCATGTTACTACCCGGGAGTTCTTTCACTAAAACACCGACTGTCCCTACCAGAATCAACTATAATACTTCCGGTTAGAGAGCACACCCACGGCAGCACTTCCAAAAGCTATGAAGTGGGTGAGGGACAGGCAGAGACGGGAGAGCTGGCGGTCCTAAGACTTGCCAGGCTTCCGATGGTGCCGCTGGGCCCACAGTGCTTCAGCCTCCTGGGCCGCTCCAGGCAGCCTAGAAGAGCCCCGATCCAGCCCCGAGACGCTCAGTAACAAGCCTTGTCTCTCCGGGGCCCTGTGGGAACCGCCCGAGGTCTGCGCACCGAGGGAAGGTGGGATTCCAACGCCGTTAGGGCCCTCGGGCAGCATTCACTCCGCCCTTCCTCAGGTGCACTGAACCGAACCGGGAAAACACCCTTTGGCCGAAGCCCCTTCCCACTGCCCGGACCACTGACAGTGCTGACTGGGCCCCCCCCCGGCAATGGCCCCCGTC